AAAAAAAAAAAAAAAAAAAAAAAAAAAAAAGAAACATAACCCCCGTTTGATGAGCGCCCAGTAAGATATTTCATCAATTTGTTTGTTTTTTTCTACAGGAAAAAGCAAAAAAGCACAATTGTGAAGTGGAAAAATTAGTTGTATGTAAAATATCCCCATAGGGGTAATGATTTCTTTCAGCCCCCATGGGTATTAAATATTTTAACAGTGCCCATTGAGAAATTTCGACAAACCAGTTGATAAAAAATAGTTGTACGTTATGCACTGGTGCGTTGAAGTGTTTACTTCCTTGGAGCATTGAAGCGCTGTAAGACTCAAATTTCAAACAAGGACAGGCGTGAACACGAAGTAGGGACAGACATCGTGGAGAAAGGATGGCGAAACAAAGGTTGACAGCCCTGGATATACGCGCGATAATCACTCTGTGCAAAAACATCATTGTCGGATGTGTAGTAACGAACATTTATAACATCTCCAACAAAATTTACGTTTTAAAATGCTCGAAAAAGGAGCAAAAGTATTTTTTTTTGGTGGAAGCTGAAAAGAGAATTCATATAACAGAATGGAAAAGGGAAAAAGATGTGATGCCATCAGCATTTACTATGAAGTTAAGAAAACATTTGAGATCTAGAAAAATTACCAACATAAGCCAACTGGGAGGAGACAGAGTGGTTGACATTCAATTTGGATTCGATGATAAAGCATGCCATCTCATTGTGGAGTTATACATTGCTGGAAATATTATCCTTACAGACAATAATTATAAAGTATTATCCATTTTGAAGAGCAATGATGCTATCGGAAAAAAATATAATATTAATGATGTGTACAATGTGGAGGAACACACATCCATCTTGCTGCACAAAAATTTGGAGGTAGTCGATATGGAAAATGTAAAGAAGAGTATTAATGAAATAATGCTTCTTTATAACAATGTCACCCTTGAGGATGCTTCTTCCATGTCTAAAGATGTAGTAGTTGGTGAGGGCGGTAATATCTCCATCTCGCATGAGTTTCAAAATATCTCGGTGGAAGACAAGAATGTTGGGTTGGCACAAAATAAAGCGATTTCTGATGAACGCGCCAAGGGTGCAGACGAAAAAGCCACAGTCAGCAAAAAGGGGAGTAACAATAATAATGATGGTAGGACAAGGAAGGGAATTGTAAAGAATGGCATTGAGGAAGAAGTACACCCAGGTAGTGAGGGTAAAGCAAAAAATAAGGGGAGCAGTAACGCCAAATTCAAAAGTACCAAACGTGTGCAGGATAAAACATCAGGAAAATTGAACAACAGCTCGAATAAAAAAATCAGCACCCCCATTTGCAGCGATAATGAGAAAGGTACAAAGATGAAGAAACTCAAAACGTTAACTAATTTAGCTAGCAAACTTATTGTGTTTGCCCATAGCGATCTAATTGTCCATTCGTTAATCGCATGTGATGTGAACCCCTCTGATTCGTTGGAGAAATACAGCTTGAGTGAATTGGCACATATTCTGTTCAAAGCGATAAATGAGGCGCTATTCGTGCTGAACAGTTTTAGCAGTGAGGGGAGTTGTGTGAAGGGCTACGGTTTTGCTTGTACAGGTGGAGAAAAGGGGAAAAAAGCGGAAAAGAATAAAACGGATGGTGTGGGTGACGAAGGGAACATTGAAGCCAAGCCGAATGATGGTAAGGGGGAAGACAAAAGTGGTGAAGAGATCATATTTACAGAGTTCTCCCCAATCATTTTGAACAACCATAAAAATAAAGTGGAGGAACAAAAACTGCAAGTCGTCCATTTTGATGACTTTAATAAATGCGTAGACACGTATTTCAGCAGAATGGAATTGTCCAAGTACGACAAGCAGCAGGAAGTGATTAAGATTAAAAAATCTCTTACCAAAATGGATAAAATTAAGTTAGACCATGAAAGGAGAATTGAACAGTTAGAGAAGGAGGTTAGTTCGTTGAAGAAAAAAATTTCGCTAATTCAAATGAACGACGAATTGGTTGAACAAGCCATACAGTTAATGCGTGCCGCAGTGGCGACGAATGCCAATTGGGAAAAAATTTGGGAGCATATTAAACTTTTTAAGAAGCAGAATCATCCTATAGCACTGCGGATTAGCTCCGTCAATTTCAACAATTGTGAAATGGAGTTGCTGTTAGATGACGAGGGGGAAAACGAAGAGGGAAGCGACGACCCTTCTAGTGAATCAAGCGAAGAACAGTCAAAAGGGAAAGCATCCAATAAGGACGCTGCAACAAACGGCAGGATCGCAGTTACCATAAATTTAAACAATTCTGTGTACGGGAATGTAGAAGATTATCAGAAGCTACGAAAGAAAGCAGAAGAAAAAATCAGGAAAACAAAAATATCCACCAATTTTGCTGTAAAAAAAGTGGAGAAAAAAAAAAAAAAAGAAAAAGAAAATAAACAAAAGGGAAAACATAACAAGACAGTTGGTCAAATTCAAAAGTTAAGAAAAGTCTATTGGTTTGAAAAGTTCCATTGGTTTATCTCGTCGGAAAATTATTTAGTTATTGCTGGGAGGGATGCTTTACAAAATGAAATATTGTTTAGAAGGTATTTTCAAAAGAATGATGTTTATGTACATGCAGATATTCATGGTGCTTCGACATGTATTATTAAAAATCCTCATAAGGATATTCCCATTCCAGAGAAAACTCTGTCCGAGGCTGGCCAGCTAGCTATTTGTAGAAGTTCTGCTTGGAATAATAAAATTATTACTTCTGCTTGGTGGGTGCACTACCATCAAGTTAGTAAATCGGCTCCAACAGGGGAATACTTAAAAACGGGGTCCTTTGTAATCAGGGGGAAGAAGAATTACTTGCCGCATGTCAAGCTGGAAATGGGATTGTGTATAATTTTTCAGGTGGACAATGTTGTGATGGACAATAATGAAGACGACAATTTGGATGACACGGAGAAAAAATTCGAAAATGATTGTGAAAAGAGGAGCAGCGACGTGGATCACGCAGTTGTGAGGGATGCCCTTATGGATAACCGTAATGGACAGAATTGCATGCAAGCTGGTAATAATTACACGGGTCCAACGGAGGGAAGTTTAATCACTGCGACGGTTCTTACTAAGGGTACACACGCGCATAATAGTGGTAGTACGTCGGTCGCATTTACCTCCTCTTCAACATCGAACACGTGCTTCAAATTGCATGATGCGCCAGAAAATATAAAGGATGAGAAGTGTGTGAATAGCAGCGTTAAGCGAAATGTGGCATGTAGGGGGCATTTAAAAAGGTGTGAAAGGAGGAAAACATTTTTATACAACTTATTTGTTCGCTTCTTCCTTCCAGATAGAAACAGAACAAATCCGTTGAATCGTAATTTTGAGAAAAAGTTCGATCACATCTTTCCCCTGTTGGAAAAATTAGGAATCGTGTACAGTTACGATTATTCTATTGTGAAAGGGTTGTTAAGATGGGTGTCTGCTAACTTGTTCTCTGAAGAATGTAAATACAGAACAGTCCTTAACTCTTTCATACGTAATAGAAATGGGCATTTATTAAAATGCTGCAACCTGTGCACAGCTGTGAAGAGGACTTACAAAAAATTGCTATTCATAATCTGCAACGTTTATATGTATTTCTTCCTGGACACTTATTGCGACGTTTTGATAATGCACACATCCTTGGGGGATCCAACTTTGGAAAAAGCTTTCCCCATTTTGCGCCTCTTCTTCAGAAGGTTAAAAGATGCTGTAACTTTTTTTATTTCACATAAAGGGTTTAAACAGAAGGGAAATAGGACACGTCTCAGATTATATGTAGAAGACATCCCGGATATGATTTGCAATGTTACGCATGATGGGTCATTTGGAAGATTGGGAAGGCATATGGAGGTGGGTAGTAATGGGATGGAATTGAAGAAATTCTTTTCTCCTAACTTTATGAAGGCAGGGTCGATTGAACAGCTTGGAAATAACTGTGTAAAGGATTATTTGTGTGAAGGGGAAAAAGGAAAGACCCCCTTCATTTTTGTCGAGTGCACGGTGTGCGGGGCCCCCCCAGTGACCTTCAAAGATGAAGACTCAGATGATTCCGAGTTGAATAAGAAGGTAAAGGGGAAACTGCGCGACCACCTATCCGTAAGTAGCCATGATAGGAAGAGAGAGTTTGAAGCAGAGGACGGGAAGGCAAAAAAAGTTGCCTTTTTAAGCGATGATGAGGAAGCAAGTCCCACATTGCTAAGACCCTCGAGATTGCGCAAGGGTACGGGGTTTGTAAAGATGGACGTAAGTAAGCTTCTCGAGGAGATAGAGAAAGAGCACGAGGTGGAAGAAGAAGGGGAAGAAGAGGATGAAGAGGAAGAGGAGGACGAAGAGGACAACATTGAGGACGCAATCGCGCAGATAGGCACCTCCACCAAAGTTACAATGTTCGAAGCGGGAAAAAGAAAGGGTCAGAAAAAAAGTGTCTCCTTTACTTCAAAGGATGAGTCCATTGGTGATGCAAAACAACCCTTGTTGAATGCGCCCAGGCCAGTGAGGTCACGCAAACCCACGGGCTTCGTCAAAATGGACGTTAGCAAGTTGTTGGAGGAGATAGAGAAGGAGCATAGTTTTGAGGATGAAGGAGACGCAAGTGAAGAGAATGAGGTGACCCAGGTGACCTCTGTGAGTAATTCAGATATGGACACGAAGGAGGACGGAGATAAGGGAGACAAGCAGGAAAAGAAAAATGTAACGTTCTGTGAGAGCTCGCGTAAATCTAGCACAAGAAAAAAAAGTGTCTCTTTCAGTTCTGAGGATGAACACATTTACGTCGAAAGGCATGAGTCGCTCAACGTGCCGAGGCCGGTTAGGTCGCGAAAGCCCACAGGCTTCGTCAAAATGGATGTTAGCAAGTTGTTGGAGGAGATAGAAAATGAGGAGAAATCCGACGAGGCGTGTGCATCTGGTGCGGGGGATGTTTCTGGCCATACAGACGAAACGAGCTCTTCGAATTATCAGAGTGGCCTCAACGCAGAGGACGGACATGAGGAAGAGACACCGAAAGTAAAGTTTTGCGAAGGTGCACTGAGCACTAATGTGAAGAAAAAAAACGTCTCCTTCAGTTACCAAAATGTGTATGTGCAAGGCGAGAAAAATGAATCGCTGAATGTGCCTAGGCCAGTAAGATCGCGCAAGCCAACAGGCTTCGTCAAAATGGATGTTAGCAAGTTGCTGCAGGAGATCGATCTTGAGGAGAAGTCTGACGAAGGACAAGAAGACACAGACAAATTGGAACAGCAAATGGTAGGGGGCACTGACGTGACCTCAAGTAATAAGCAAAAGGAGAAGAAAGTTACCTTTACTCCGCAGGATGGAAAATCTGTTTCTGTGAAGGACCCAGAGTCGTCGAGCTTTTCCAGACCAGCCAGACCTCGCAAAGCAACTGGTTTTGTGAAAATGGATTTGAGCAAGCTGCTCGAGGATGTGGAAGGGGAAGAGGAGGAGGAAGAAGAAGAAGAGAATAGCGGAGACGGAAGTAGTGACCTAGGGGTGGCACCAGAGGGGAAGAAAAATTTCAACGAAAACGATGATCAGGATGATGATGACGATGAGGATGACGAAGAAGAGGACGACGACGATGATGGAGGAAGTTATGAGGAAAGCGACGAATCAGAGGAGAGCAGCGAGTCCGACAGCGATGACCAAACGGACAGGGATGGAGGGGACAGCGACAGTGATGCTAGCCATGATGGAAACGCACAATCCAGTGGAAATAAACGTGGGCAAAAAGGAAATAATGAAAATGGAAGTTATGTAGACGGAGCATCGAATGAAAGTAATGAAGAGAAAAAAAGTAAAAATAATTCAAATAAGCAAAGTGAAAATAAGGCCAAAAAAAATGCCATAAAGGAACAAAATGTTTCTGTTAACAACGGAACTGTGAAGGACCAAAAAAAGGATAAGGTAATGAAGTGGTAAAATTGCAGCAAAAGGGGAACGTGCCCACCATCTGACAAAAAAAAAAAAAAAAAAAAAAAACGTAAATATATATTCTATTTTTTTTCTTTCTTTTTCAGAGTTGCGTGCACTTGTTGAGAGGAGCAAGAACGAAAAAGAAGCGGATGAAGAAAAAGTACCGGGAACAGGATGACGACGACGAGGAAAGGCAGCTGCACATGAAGATAATTGGGGCAAGAAAGGTTAGCAAAAAAAAAAGGGGACGAATATATGCATGCAGCTGCGTGTGTGTAAAGTGTGTACTCCTCTTTTGCAATGTGATGTTACCACGTCTGTCCACTAATCGGTCCATTCACCGACATCCTTCATGCAAATTTCTGGAAACCCCCTTTTGCAGATGAAGCACGAGATCGAGAAAACAAAAGTGGAGAACGTGGAGAGTAATGCGGCGGAGAAGGAAAACAAATATAAGAGCCCCAAGGAAGTCTCAATCAATTTTGAGGAAATAAATGAGGAGGAAATGAAGGTACAGGAAAAAAACACATACTTATGTGCATATATATGTGAGCGTTTTGTTATACATTTAATGAATGCCTTGGAGGATAAAACAGAGGGAACCCCGATGGACGCACTTCTGTGGCCCGAATCAGACGTCAAGCGAACACCCACTTTTCCCCCCCTTCGTAGGACAAAATGAGCGAATTAAAGAAATTGGTGTGCACCCCCAAGGAAGGAGATAACTTGGTATTTGCAATTCCGATGTGTGCGCCTTATTCAGCCATTCAGGTAAAAATGCAGCAGCCGTTTGGGAAAAAATGAATGTGACTGCTAAGTTATGCGACGTAACCACAAGGTCCTCATATATTTTTTTTTTTTTTTTTTCTTGTTCCTCCCTCATACCGTTTGTAGAATCAAAAGTACAAGGTGAAACTTGTCCCTGGAAATGCTAAAAAGGGGAAGGTTGCGGAATCGTGTATTTCGTACTTTTTGAAAATGTCAACTGAAGAAAAGGAAAAGGAGCTCATCAAAAATATATCGGTATGACAACCCTATATTTTATCCACCCACTTTTTTAACTTTACTACCATGAGAGGGGATCTTATTTGACGTGTCTCATGAGGAGTGCTAATAAGCGTTGCGCAAGAGTGCCTTCTGTTGAGAAAACAAACTTTGCAGTAGGCGTCTTCATCTCTGCGAAATGGGGATAAATGGACACGCACATGGATACCTCTTTTTTTTTTTTTTTTTTTTTTTTTTATGTGCAGGTGGACGAATTGGGAAACTGCATTATAACAAATTCGACCCCAGATTTGAAGGAGTTAAAACCGGCTACGAAGCACAATTTTGTTCAAAAGGGAAAGGGAAAAAAGGCGAAATGAGGAGCTATGTAGTGTGCCTGGGGGATTGCGTGCCCAGTTCGTGGTATTTTCAACCCAACGGGATTGAATTAGTCATTCGTATAAGTATCCATCTGTTTACTTAATTATTATATGTAATTATTTTTTTATTTTATTATTTTTTTGTCGCGTTGACACGTTGACGTGTTGAAGCTTTGCCCAATTTTGCGTACCCCGTGTACACCCTTTCGTGTAAGTGTCCCTTTTTTTAAATATGAAAATAGTTCCACAGTGGGTGAGAAGCCCTTTTTTTTTTTTTTTTTTCTTGTTCACCATAAGACACATCTTTGCTTCTGCATGGCAAAACTAATCCTTCAAAAATGTGTACCTTCAACTGCTATTATGTGGGCTTGTGGTGTATATATTTATGTACACTTGGACGCGCTTCACTTATATGTGTTTGCGCTTCGAACGAGTGGAATTGCAAAAAGTAGTAACGGCCTAAATTGTGTTGTGGTGGGTGCAGGTTTGTGAGGTGGACAGCAGGGGGAAGAAGAGGGTCCTTTAAGTGCGATCATAAGTGCACATATAAAGACGAAAAAAAAAATATACACATGTGTATATATATTTATTGTGCGTGCACTCAATAAAAATGCGTTGCCATGTTACTATTTTGCAACTCATTCGTTTGGCGAACAATAAGGCGCTGTTGTAAAAGGCACGCCACACTCATTTGGGTGATGTATCTTTTTACAATGTTTTTTTTAAAGATAAGTTGTGCACATTGTGAGTGCAAAGAACACAGGCCAAACGCACGGCCTCCTTTTTAATTTCTTCTGAAACGATATCAATGTGATTTTTCGGGTGAAGGGGTATGGGGGAATACACACACGTAGCAACATGATGGATGCTTTTTTTTTTTTTTTTTGGTTTCCCTTCAAAAGATGAGTTCAAATGGATAAGTACACCTGGGAAGGTAAATCTAATGTGTTGTTCTATTTGCATAATCGATGTATGAACAGCTGCCCAACCATTTTGTGCAAATCATTGCTTGCCTTTTTTTGTTGTTGCAATTTTGGGAAAATATATAGAAAATACGCTCCTTTTTTTTTTTTTTTTTTTTTAACGTCCACTTTTACGCCGTTTTTACCCAAAAAGCAGAAGGTTGCCCCCCTACAGAAAAAAAAAAAAAGAAAAAAAGTAAATAATTAGTTGTAAAGAAGGAATATTTTTTACTTGTTATCAATATTGCAAGAGAACAATGAGAACATAACAATACTCGATTTTTTTTTATAAACATTGTTGTGAGTTTGCACATGCCTGTATATATAATGAATATATACAAATTTACGCTCTTTTACTTTTCTTTTTTTTTGTAAAATAAATTTAATTCTGATACCCCCCCAAGGGTTGCCAATTCTGTGCAGTTCTGCTTCTTTCCCCGTTCGTTTGTAAATGAAAAAAGGAAAAGGTGGAGAGTTAACATAGAGTACGCAAATGGGCGAGGAGAAAGAAAAAAAAAAAAGAAAAGAAAGCCGCTCGTGTGTGTCAATCTGTTAGAAAACCTCCTCGTTGGGATGATCATCTCATCGGTTAGCTGCCCAATCGGAGGCACGAGGTTGTCGACCCACAACGTAACCCCCTGAAAGGTGAGAACAAGATGATTCGAAAAACGTACAAAAATTTCAACGACCCCCGAGACAGCGATAAAACGTTGAACCTGTGCTTCCTGGTTCACCCGAGTTACTACACAGTGTTGGAGTTGGAAGAAGAAGATGTGATAAACAATGAAATACGAAACAACTTTGTTCAAATCGCAAGAAAAATTAATTTATATGACAAAACAGAGCCAATGAAAAACTATAAAAAAACAGATACCTTAACAAGGGAACTAAATTATCTGAGAAGCTGGGAACTCTTAAATCACACGTACAAATATAAGATGCCCATTTTATTTCAAAATGTACAAAAATTTAATTTGCACGACCAAGAGGTCATTAATTATTTTCCCATTAATTATTATGCGAGGAAAAGGAACCTAGTGAGGAATAAAATAATGACAACGGTAAATAAGGACAGGTGTTTTATCATAGACACGGATATGGTTTACTCCATGACCCCAGAGTACATTGCCAGGAATATCGGGCATAGCATGATGCCAGTGGAGAAGACGCAATTTAGGCGCAGGGGAAGCGTTAGAAGGGACAGAGCGGTGCCTTTTTGTGAAAGGAAGAGGAGACGTTACAATGAAAATGTGTTGGTGGGGAAAGACACCGGAGAGAGGGGGGGGGAGCTGCTGCCTGCTGATCAAGGCGAAGACGTTGATGGGAAGGAAGGAGAGGAGATCCCCCCGAGTGGGCCCAATGGAAGAAACAATGGGGACTCAGACAAAATGCTAATATATCTGGACCCCTTTTGCGGCGCGGGCGGAAATAGCTTAAGTACGTCTCACGTTTTTACCATCTCCTCCGACATCGAACTTGCGCGAGTAAAGGAATGCCAACACAATTGCAAATTTTATAATTACAACGTAGACTTGATTGTGTGTGATTTTTTTAATATAGTAAATTTATTTAGGGAAAATACAATTGATGTAATTTTTTTGAGTATCCCCTGGGGAGGACCATCCTACAAAAAGAAAAAAAATTTCAAGTTAGACACTCCGGGGGAAAAGTTAACTGTATATTCCTGTTTGAAGGAATCCATGAAATTAACAAAAAATGTAATTTTTTATTTGCCTCGAAATGTGCGTATGCTAGATTTGTATGACTTATTCGCGTACTACCAAAAATTGGCGAATGAAAAAAATAAATTAAAAAACGATTGCATATGCAACGAAATTTTTATCGAGCTGTATTGCAATAGAGTTAGGTGTCTAGTGGAAGAACAACACGACAACAATGTCCAAAATTTTCACTACTTTTTTAACAAGCAGACAGACATGCCGAGCAACGAGTTCGATATTGAGAAGCAGCGAAATTTGTTCACCATCAACGTAGATGAATGCAACCAATTTTTGAATCTTCCAAAGGTGCAAAAGGGGGAGAGGAAGACGAAGAAGAAGAAGAAGACTGCCTCCATGTGGAAATGGCACAACACGTGCATGGTTGTATACCTCGGCAAAATAACCAACGTGCTGAAAAAAGAAAAAACGATCAATTACAACAGCATCTACTACCTGCACAAGGAGTTATCGAAATGTAACATGGGAAAGGTGAAAAAGAAAAGCGAGACCAATTTTTCCCTGTACAGATATTCATGCAGTAAAAAAAAAAAAGTCCTTGACAAAATAACGAGGAAGGTGGAAAAGAAGAGAGAAAAATGTGTAAAAAAAAATGAAAAGACATACCACATTTTAATTAATCACAGAAATGTCTTCTTCTTAAATTATTTTATTCATAAAAAATTAAACGAACTGATGAGCAACATTTTTGGCCTTTTTTTTAAAAATGTAAAAAATATTATGGGCTTTGAAAAAATCAGCTTTTTAAATAAAGTATTTATTAACTTGGACAATTCCATTTTTAGCGCCTTAACGAGAACATTAACAATGGGACATAATGTAAAAAAATATGAAACGTATATTTATTCCGACATGTTAAGTTCAAGTTGTGGGCTGTACGTAATAACAGATTATTTTAACATGATTTTAAGTGAAATTAAAAAAGTGGTGATCATTTTGTTTGGCATATATTTGCACGATATCAGTTTTATGAAGTATTTTTTTAAATTTTACAAAGCAAAAGTACCAATAAAAAAATTGAGAAATAAAAATAATTTAAAAAACATCCACTACACCATTGTTCGACTTTTATTCAAATTTGTCCTCTACATTAATTTGTTTAAAAATGTACTAAGCAATAACATCAAGTTGGAAGAATTTTTCAGCAAAAATGTTGTGTGTACTGGGCTGGGAAATTTATTGGAATATTTGGACATTGCACACAATGACTATAATTTTATGAAGCATAAAAAGAGAAAGGACTTTTCCTTTTCATTTAAAAATTTAATCCAAAATTTTATTATGCTCTCCGTTAACATGGAGATTAATGGAAAGTTGATAAAGACGGAGGAGATTACCAATCTGTACTTCCGATTTTTGTTCAACGTGAGTGAGACGAATGACCTCCTGCATGAACTGCAGAGCAGTCTTTACGAAGATCAAGTGAAGTGCTACCAGTGGCACTTGTGTCTAACCACGGTGAACTTTTTCACCAAGCAGTTTTTTTACAATATGAATATAACGTCCTTTTTGGATTATTTCAATTCGCTCATTTATTTCTACTTCAACCAGATGTATGTTTTGTCCAAGTGTCACCGGAATTATTCAAATTTGTTTGTTGCTCATTTGAATAATTTCCTCTACGACAGTTTTTGTGTGAGAATTTTTTAGCCTTTTTTTTTTTTTTTTTTTACAGGCACACCGCGGGTGGCGAGAAGGTGTTTGTATCTTTTTGTTGCATCATGTTCCACTTTTGTGGCGTGTGCGTCCAATAATTAAGCATTCTCTACACTTATTTTTTTTGTAGCCTTGCATGTCCGTTTGACCGCTGAGTATGCTCGCCCCTAGCATACGCGAACTTCCCCACCGCGCAACTATGCGTCACCCCGTGTAGAACTTCTTACGGGTGTATTTCTAGTTGTGTGCAATAATATTCAGCGACTGTTGCAAATGCCTGTAAATATACAACATGTTTTTTTTTAGTAAATCATCTTTTTGAGTTTTTTTTTTGACTATGCTATTGTTTGTTTTTCTCACTATCCAGCTATAACACAAAAAGGTGTTAATTAACATTCGGAACTATAAACGCAATTAAGCGTGTACAAAAAGTTCCCCTGTTAGAAGTTCGCAGGGAGGGTGGTGGTGGTAGAAATGGGAATTTCCCCCGACCCTGCAAAGCATCGAGTTCGGTACTGTTGTAGGGAGAGCAGCAGATGTGTGCACATGAGTATATTCTTTGTATACACATCTAATGGTGTCATGTATACACCCTTGCAAATGATCGCTCTACTCTTCCCTCCCCGTTGTGTGCTATATCTACCTGACCGGTTAAAAGGCGAAAATAATTTGCCCAAGTGGTGCAACATGTACGTCAGCAGAGATGCACATTTTTAGTATCAATGGGGAAATTATAATGTAGATATGCGCGCACCTCTGTTTGCTCATTTTTTTACCGCACGCCCATATGAACCAGTGGTTAGTGAAGCAATTCGAGGCAATAGAGCAAAAATGAACACATAAAAAAAAAAAAAAAAACCAAAAAAAAGGGGGACATTACACTGAATTGCAATTTATGTATAAAATAGTGGAGGTGACAAGGTTAATTGAGCCTGTTTGATTAAACACCTCCGGGTTGGTAAGATGAAACGCATTTCTTAGGAGAGCCCCTACTTTTATCGAAGATGAAAATACCCAACCCCCGCGTTTATTTGGATGTTGCCATAGGGGGGAGGAACGCTGGAAGGCTGATATTTGAGGTGAGCCAGGAGTTAACCAAAAGGCAGGAGCCCCCAAAGGCAGAAGGAACAAAACAAAACATGGGGGAAGAAAAAAAATGATCGAAAACCACACACCTCTCCTCCATTTGAAAGCATAACTAATGAGTGTTTCCTTTTTTCCCACCTTTGCAGCTGTTCATGGATAAGTTACCAATCACCTGTGAAAATTTTCGCTGCCTCTGCACAGGTGATTACTTCACCGGGGGAAGAGATCTTTTAAGAAAGAATGTTAAATCGTTTTCTTCTTCCATTTAGCAGATATATATATTTTTTTTTTTTTATTCGAAGGTGAGACAGGCCTGGGCTACTACCTGAAACCACGCTGGTACAAGAATTCCCCCATTCATAGAATTGTCACAGATTTTGTAAGGCACCCTAAAATGGCTACGACAGACATGTAGCTACTACAGGTGCACTTGTGTAAACATTCCCCCTAGTGATTTGTATGTACATGTTGACCTTAGTGCGTCTAACCCAAAACACACATTATGTGTACTGTTGCACCCTCCTCCGCTCCTCTTTAGATGTTCCAAGGAGGGGACTTCAATTTTGGGAACGGCTTTGGCGGGGAGTCCATATATGGACAGTACTTCCGAAACGAAAAGTTCATCTACCGGCATTCGAAAAGAGGTATCACCGGAGGAAAAACTAACAGAGTGGCACAAATATGAATGACATTTCATTTCAGGGTCACTCCTTGGATCGTTTTCTTTCCCTCCCTACACATTCGTAGAAGCTTCTTCATTTTATTATGCCCACGTAGGCACTCCTACTTATCTCTACCCATCGAACGATTCATTATATTCCCCCCACTTCCTACCAACAGGCGTGCTGTCCATGTGCCAGACGAGAATCAAACATACAAATAACTCTCAATTTTTTGTAACCTTTAAAAGTTGCCCATGGCTCGATAAGAAGCATGTGAGTTTGTGTAGGTGGGATATAGCCCCTAAGCTCTTTTGCTTTTTTGTGAATTTTTTTTATTATGATTGAGTTTGATGTATGCACCGATTTATTTGTTCATTCCCTGTAGGTAGTCTTTGGGCACCTGGAGTACGGATTTGACACCCTGTCCTTTATTGAGGAACAATCTACTCTAATTGGGAAGCCGAAGAAGCAAGTTTATATTTACAACTGGTATGGTTTCGCTTCACATTTTGGGGGTGGTAACCCTCCCTGGCGTATGCAGTTGTGTGCAAGACACACACAAATACATTCCAGTGTGTGCGTCGTTTGTAGCACACCAAGGTGTATTGGGTCGAGCCGATTACACTCTTCCAAATGCGCACCTTTTGTTTTGCCCCTTTACAGCGGGGTGATACCACTGGATCGAATCAAATCCAAGTCCGAGGCGACGTCGGACGATGATTACGTCATACCGGTAAGGACAGAAAATGGTCCACACCATGTTCTACATCAAAACATGCTCTCGGTTGCCCATACATGCGGCATGTTCTTATTATGGAGAGATACTTCTCTCAAATGTGTGTCCCCTTTCGCTCCTCTCCCTGTGCAGGATGTAGAAAGGCCACTGTTGGAGCGGGACATTCATTTTAACGAAAATGCGGACTTTAGCGAGTTGAAAAATATGTACAAGTATAGCAAGCGCGTTTGAGCGAAAAAACAGGGGGAAAAAAGAAAACAAATAAATGCCAAATCAACAACACCATCACTAATTAGTTATAAACGAACAGATACACCTTATTAATGTAAATGAACGATTTGTGTTTGTCCGACTTGAAATATAAGTTTGTTATAAATTTGTTATTTTTTTTGTTCCATTTTGTGTTATACTTGTACTGATAAAGCGGTATTTTTTTGTCCTTGAGAATATTTTTTTCTCTCCTCTCGATTACGCTTAAGGTTACGACGGGGATTTCGTCGTACTTTTTGTTGCTCCTTGACTTGACGCCCAGACATTCGAAGTTGTTGTTCTGCGGGATTGTTTGAAATGGAGGTAGGGTTGAAGTGGGTCATTTGCATCATGACAAAATGGGTAACGGTTTTGGGCCGCCCCATCTGAGCAACGCAAGTGGGAGTTTCTTGCGCGGGAAGCAAACATGTGCACGCACGCATGTCTACCCAAGCATGTGTAAGGAGCTACGTGCAAGCACATGTTTATGCCAATTGCTTGCCTCCCCTACCAAAGTGTGCAGCCCCGACACATCCACGTTGCAGCAGGACTCCACCTCGTAGTGGACATAATCTGAGTAGTTAATTTGGTTTGACGAAAACGCGTCTTGTTCATCACTGCTATAGAAGAAATTTTTCTGAAAATGGGAGGGACTTTTTGTCTTCCTCATCTCGAGGGTATTATTTATGCTAGATAAAAATATGCAATCGCCTAATTTTTTTTTATGCACATAACTGAATTTAATCAACAAGGCTTTAAAAAAACTTAACGGATCAAAAAGATATTGTATATTATAAAAACGCAATTCCCCTGTGATGTTCCAAAAGTACAGCTGCTCCTTGACGTTTTCATAGTATGTAACAAAATTTTCAATTGTTTTTATTTTTTTGTTAAAATTGCATATCCACCTTGTTGGCACTTTACTTAGAGAGAGGGAAATCATAATTAGCTTGGTCACTTTGTCGATTTTTTTTTTATTTTTATTTAACTCCTGCTCAATTTTGATTACATCATTGTATATTAAATTTGTAATTCGTTTAAATTTTTCTGTTTCCTTTACGCAACATGATTGGATGGTCGTGATGTTTCCTTTGGCCCACTCTGCATTAATGCTGATGTTGGATTTGAATGTGCCCTTTAGCTTCTTTATCAATTCGTAGAATTCGTTCAATTTTTTTATCTTCTTTAGGAAGTCCATATTTTCCGCTCTGCGTCTGCTGAGTTCTTCCTCCTCCATGGGACTCCAGGTGCACGTTTTTATGAACAATTTTGTGTCGTCCTTCTTGTCGTCGCCCGTGTCATCGTTTGCGTCAGGCGTGGTTGGGCCGTCACCGTGTTGACTCATATAGTCAACTTGAAGGGTATCATTTGTCTCTCCCTCGTTTGAACATTCACGTGTGTGCTTTTCAAGCCCTTCTGTTGCATACACATTCGGTTTATCACCCCCTCGGGGGGACTTCCCACTTTGCTCATCATCCGTGTTGAGCAGCGAGCTCGAATAGTAGTCACTGTCCAGGTTGAAGAAAATATCGCCGTCATTGTTTTCCTTCTTGTATATTAAAATTTCCTTGCTGCAGATTTTTTCCAAATTCTTGAGCATATTTTCATTGTACTGTTCGTGCTGCTTCTTGTCAGCCTCGATTTTCATTCCATACGTTTTGCAGCTGTTGAAGAGGGGGTAGCTCTGAGGTTACAAGACAAGGCAAAGAAGGATGGGGACAGGTAAAAATGGGCATACGTATGTGATTATATGTATATTGAGCGCGGCGCAATGGTGGAAGGCGGGAGGACATGATGACGCAAATCACGTACAAATATATATGTAACCACTGCACTGTTACTGCCCCTCGTTGTGAGACACCTCATTCACCCATACCTTAATCAAATTGACATACTCCTTGATGGATCTGTTCATCACAAATTTGTAATCAAAGTTTTCGTCTGCCGAGTAGACGAACTCGTTTTTCTCGTTAAAGGAGTACTCGTTGAAATATTCCTTTATGTAGCTTTTTATTATTTTCCGATCATTGGCGTTGACTTTGTTTCCATACCCATTTAGGATAATCTCTCTGTAGGGAGAAGCAGCGGAAGGAGGGGTAGTTCAAAAAGGGAAGGAGCCGTAGGGGTGTATCACATTTGGTGTAATTAAACACCTGGTGGGGTGAGAAGGACAAACACAGCGATAGTTTTACACGACCACGTAATCTCATTTTCGCAGCTGTTTCAATTTTGGTCCTACTTTACGAAGGCCCAGTTTATGTTAACTTCCTGGATAAGCGTTTCCTCGTGGGCAGGTTTCTCACTAAGAAGGTTAGAGGTAGGTGTACATGAGTTAGATCCGCTAGGCACAGCAGCGTTCATTTGAACAAAATTGAAATATGCCAGAAGACAGTCGAATGTATTTTCGAAATCCTTCATGTCGAAGTAGTAGGGTTCATCAAAACCGTAATTGTCATAATTGCATCTGGATGCTAAAATGCTATGAAAAAAGGAAAGAGAAAAAAGAAAAGAGTTTACAAAATTATTTTTCAATTTGTCTTTATACATATGATGGACGTAGGAAAATAAATCTGTGAGGAAATTTTTTAAGTATTCATTTTTGTGTGAATATATTTTAATGGCTTTCTTCATAATGGACAGAGATGTCTCTCCCTTTTCTGATGTTAAGTACAATTCGAAATTGGAATGAATTTTTTTGTTATTATAAATTTCGTAAAATTTTTCAATGTTAAAATTTATCAAGTGGAAATTTTCTAGTAATAATTTATTTCCATTTTGTAGCGAAGTTTCTATTACTATTTGTATTTCACTGTTAAAATTATTTCCCACGCTGAGCGTTTTTGTTGCTTTATGTTTGAGTAGAATGGGATCATAATAAGTGTTCGGTTCTGTAATATACATAAACGTTTTCGCATCTATGTAGTTTAGATCCTTGGACAGATTCAAATGGGTAGCGGTATTCATATTTTCAGACAAGTCCAAATAGCTCGAGAGCAAAAAGTGTATATAATAATACAGCCTATCCTTCCTCATAATGTATAGAAATAGGATAACTTCTAACTTTTCTAACTGTTCTAGTTGTGTTTTTTTTAGAAAGAACAAATTCTCTTCTGGCCTTTTATTCTTGTACCAATTGAGATATTCCATAGAGTTATTGTTCATGTCTTGAATGAGTGCTTTGAAATTTGGGGATTCGTTGTGCAAAAATTGGAGCTGTCTGTTCTTCTTCTCATTTAGCCATTCTATTTTTAGAGAGAGCGAATCTGGTGTGTCCATGTTTCCTATTTTTTGAATTTGTAAAAACAGGGAGTAATACTTTTCCTTTTCCACTTTGATAGACCTACCAATTTGATGGAGCTTTTTTTCTTCGAATATTAAAGAGGAGTAAAAGAGGAAGCTGAAAAAGAGGTGGTCCTTCTTATGTATCGTGTTTAACAGGAACACAAAGCAGTTGTGTGTGAATTTTTTTATCAACTGATTAAAGTTACAAATTAGCATCTTCTTGTTGATGTTTTTAATTAAGTTGTTCAGGATATTTAACAAATAATTAAAGTTGAAGCTGTAAGTAGATTTTGCTTTGGACTGTTTCTGTAGCACTTTGTAAATGGTATGGAATCGGTACCCCAGGAGCTTTATATTTTCTGAAGAATTTTTAATTTTGTTAATTTCCTGTTTATACTCCTTGAGCATTTTCTTTATTTCCATTTTTTTCAAAACATTGCTATTTATAACGTTCATCAAATTTTTGTTATTATTTGCTTTGTGGTTAAATGTGCACAGCTCAATGATCATTCCGTCGTCTAGAAATTTCAGCGTCTGCTTGGTCTCGTAAAAGTTTCTAATCTTCGTGTTAAAGTTGATGACCTTTTTTTCGTCTTCGTGTTTCAGTATGATGTTAACAATTTTGTTTACTATTAAATTTTTGTCTATCTGGAAGTCAATGATGTTCACGTAGTCCTCTATGTCTTGGAAGTACCTGTCATTGAAGTCGCTCACGAGGAAGAGCCTAAATTGGCTGTTGTACTCGAGCTTCTTCTTACCTGCACAAGGGGGGGGGGGGTGTAAATGGAATGGGAAGCACAAACTATATGAGGCAGCTCTGATGCGGGCGCTCATTTACACGGTGTAATATACCTATGTTGATGTAATACTTTCCGTTGGCCAAGTACACATTGCGCTCGATGACGGGCTCGAGGATGCCATAGTTGGAGTTCAGCTTGATCTCCCTGCTATTTAGCTTAAACTTGAGGAAGTTTTTCTTGGCCAAGAGATCAGACCGCACGCGCTTGCAGTTGTCCTCGTATTGATCATCGCAGTTGAATCCCTCGTCATTCTTCTTATCATACATGTACAAATTTTGAAAATTAAAAAATGGAATGATCAAGCTCTTTCCGTATATTATGCACATGTCTAAATGTTTGCTTAAATTTTCATCAAAATTATGAATGACCAAGTTGTTGCTGTAGCTTTTTTTTAGCCACTCAATTCCGATGTTCTGTTGGTCTAGAAGAAGTGGCCACCTGAAATGGTTGAGCGAGATTAGCGCATTTTGAATGTAAAAAATATGTCTAGGGAAGTTGTCCGATATGAAGAGCGAGACGATACTATCACATGAGTAGATACATTCAATTTTGATGTCTTCCCTTATCAGGATGTTATTTTTTTTTATAATTTGTTTCCATTTGTTGAGCAAGTAGCATCTGTACTTGTAGTTAAAAGGAGAAGAGTAGTTTAAGAAAAAGGAGAAGAGCAAAACTTCTGATACGATATATTTATAATTATTTTCAATTTTTTCAATCGTATAGATATATTTTTTTTTAATTTTTTCTAAAAATTGTTTGATTTCAAAAATAGGCAAGTAGGATTTATTAATTATTTGTAATTTTTTATTTAAATTTTCTACAACTTCGGTTTGTGTGTGTACATCCTTTTTGTTATTTATGATGGTGGACTTTATTTGGTGCATTTGTTGCATTAGCTTTTCGTTTTCATGTTCGTACTGTTCTTTTTTTAACTTATTATTTGAAATGATTTCTTGCACCTGACAGCTATTCTTGTAATACTCCTTATATTTAATGAGGAACGTAATCCACTCGAAAAAGTGCGTAAACAAGTTGTTCGCTTGGAGAATTTTCTTCCTCCCGTAGACTATCTCATCCTTCAACATGTATTCCTTGATTCTCTTAATCTGTTTATCAGTGATGTTTTCCTTTTTGAAATTGAAAAAAAATTTTGAAAAGTTTTCCTTGGAGATAAAATTTTTAAAATAATTCCAATTGTCATTATTATCATTTAGGAAGGAGTTCCTGACCAGTGTGTTTATCATAATCGCTATGCACATTTGTGTTAAATCTGGAGTTCCTATTTTTAGTATATTTTTAATTTCATTAATTTCTACATTTTGAATTTTAAATATAATGTTGATGCATTCTTCTTCAATTTGTTTCTCAGATTCATTTTTATTTTCTATCATTTCGTCAATGTCATTTGCGACTTTGTTCAGCTCTTGTTGGTTTGCACTAAACTGTTGTTCTGTGTCTAGTAGGATCTTTGAATTTGTCTTAATGGAATTATTCAGATATTCAATTTCTTCTTCTGTTTTCTTTATAGACGAGTGAATGGACTGTATTTCTTCGTTCATGTTATTATAATTTTCAAATATGCTTTCCACTTTTTTCAGCCCCATTTTGAACATGTGCAGTTGTTTATTTTTGTAGTTTAATTTATTTTTTAGTAAAATATAAAACATAATTAGTGCGTCCATGAAGTTGTACTTGTTAATTCGTATAAAATTCAAATTGGAATTTTTTTTTTTTAAAAAGTTTTTCAAATCGTAGTATACTTGTATGAACACGTCCACGACATTTTCTAGTTGCGTCTCAATCATGCTGTAAAAACTGTACTTGTTTATTTCTTCGCTGAAATTGTTGAATTCCTGTATTGCTTTTTTATTGTAGTGTGTATTCTGTGCGGCTTTTTCGTTTCCTCCTTTTGGAAAATAATCTTCACCCGAGTGTTTTGTTTCGTCGTTCTCCGCGTTGTCCTGCACATCCTGCTCATTCTGTGCATTCTGCTGAGGTCCCTTCTCGTTATCCTGTCCCTCCGCATCTTTTCCGCTCTGATAAGATTCTTCCTTCCTTGGGTTCGCTTTCTTTTTTTCCAATTGTTCATCATCCGGTTGGACATCATTCTTATCGCTGGTAAGGACACCTCTTGCTGCGTCATTCGTTTTCTTTTCGCTTCCGCATTCTTTCGTATCCTGGCCCGTTTCACACTCTGTATTTTCTCTGATCTGTTTGTTTGACATGACGTTGTCCATTTGGCTCATTTCCTTTTTGCTACTTTTTTGACCCGTCTTTTGGGAAACTTTCTTATGTGCTGGTTTTCCTTTCATATTATGTGTATCCCTTTCTCCGTTCTTTTTTCCGTTAACCTTGGGTACCCTTTTGAGCGGCACGTTCTCTTTTCTCATCGTTTTGGGGCCTTCTATAGGTTGTCTTTCCTTCTTTTTATCGTTTTGTTTGGAAGAAGTAGCACTGATTGCGCTTTTCGGTGGAGGGTCGTTTTTGCCTGTTATTCTCCTTTTGATGGGCTTATCACCCGGTTTTCTCGCCTTAGTTTGAGCCCCCAAAGAAAGTATTCCTTCCTTAATGTGCGACGCTGATGTGGATTTGCCCTCATTATGTTTAGCATTCTTTTTGTTTTCACTCTTCGCTCCTTTATCGTTTATCTTGTGCCCACTTTGTTGCCCTTCCTTCTTTTTGACAACGCTTTTATTTATATTCCCAGTTTGGTTGTTTTTTTTTCCTTTTTTTATCTTTTTCTTCTCCTCGGGTACTCCTTTATCGATGTCATGCGTTTTGTTCAGTTCGTCTTTTGGTTTCTCCGCATCTTGGTTCAGCTCACCCTGGACATCTTTTTCGCCTTGTTCGTAATTCGCCTTCGGGATATTTCCTTCCGTTTCGTTATTAGCATCATATATATCATGAACGAGACCATGTTCATCATCTGCTTTATCCTGTTCGCTTCCGTTTTCCTTTTCCGTTCCACGGTGTTCTTCTTTGTTGCCTCCCACCTGAGGGTCTGCCTTGTCGTCCATCCCACCGCCTGTCTTCTCCTCCTCCTCATTTGGAAGGACATTCTCCGTTACAACTTCACTTCCTTTTTCATTTTCACTCACCTTGGGGTTATCGTTTTTATTCTTCTTTATGTATTCCTCCGAGTTGATGAAGATTTGGTTGGCCTTGTTTTTCCCCTTTGTCTTTTCCCTTTTGTGAAGTGTGATGCCTTTGCCTCCCTTCTCGATGTCATCTTCCAGGGTATTTAGGATGGCTTTTTTTTTGAAGTTGTTTAATATATTATCTATGAAGTGATTTTCTTGGTGGTTCTTTAAGAAGAGGTGGCAGTAGTGCGTGTACTCCTCCCTGGACCAGCTATCCAGGTGCACAACATTTAAGTCGCTGTAAACATTTTTGTAATTTTGGAAGTTCATCGAGTAAAGATCGAACCGTTTCTCGTGCACTAAGCAGACGTAGGTATTCTTTTTCATCTGTGCGGGTGGGGGGAAAAAACAAGAAGGCAACATTACACACATGTACATAATGTATAGTGGCAAAGTTCCTATTTGGGAAAAAACAGTTTTCTCTCCGTTAAATTGGAAGAGGTAGTGCATATGTAGTTCACAAAATGCAGGACATATTTTAGCCCCTGTATCCATATTTGATCATTTTTTTTTTTTTTTTCCTTTTTTGTTCGATTACAATAGTTTGGATGTTCTCCCACTTGAGCTCATTCGATATCAAATTCGTTTTTGTGTACAAGTGGAAAAGTTCCTTCTTGTCAAAGAGAGCAGAGGGAAACTTCTTATAAATTAAAGAGTAAAAATAATCATCAAAATGGTAGGAATGATTTATGAGTATGAATAGGTGTCTCTTAAATCTTAATCTGTTGTAGTAGTTAATTTTGTCTTGAGGTGTTTCCAAATTATTACACTTGTTAATCAATACAGTATTTATATTTAACATAAATGCAATTGCGTTTAGCAATATGATGGCTCTCTTTTTGTTCATACAAATGATCATCGAGGAATATATATTTTTACTTATATTTTTGTAGACTTGTATTATATTTGTAAAGTAGAATTCTACGAACATTTTTGTGTTTATGTACAGGTTATTGTAGCTGCTTAGGCTCCTCACGAATTCGTCTTTCAGCAAATCTGCGTCGATCTTTTCGTGTACCTGTGGGGTGGACGCGAGGACAAACATGAGGAGTGGACGCGCGGGGAAACTCTTGACGAATGAAAGGGTTCTTTAAATATGTTCCTTGTTTCTCCATTTTTCTACCTCTTTGTTAAAGTAATTCAAGTAGGTGAAGGAGCATTCCTGGTTTAGGTGTTCAAAGTGCTTCTCCGCCATAGCTGAAAATAAGGGGGTAATACAAAAAAATGGTGTCTCTGTTTTTATGAATTATGGCGAAGACAAGAAGGGGAAAATGGAAGGTTATCACTAAAAAGTTCCCTGATTATATTATCTTATTCGTTTACTTCTCATCGTTTTGAGGATGTCCTTTCTGTTCTCCTTTTTGAGGATCCTATTCAGGATGATACGTGCGGAAATTTCGCTGCAAGGGGGAAGGTGAAGATTCCGTGTGTAGGGGCAAAACAATGGTTTCACTTTGTTAGGTTGTGTTATATATCTCTCGTTTAAGCTGCGTTTTTGGAGCTTATATATATTTCTTTTTTTTTTTTTTTTCTGTGTCTGCTCTCTAGAATACCACCAATTTGCGACGACGTCCTGCTCATTTTGAAAATTCCACTTGGTGTAAAAGAAATCTTCGTAGAGTAGAAAAATATTTTCCTTCGTGAACAGCAAGTGGTTTTCCTTTTTCTCCTCAAAATTGATGTCTTCATGTATTTTGAAGAAGATGTCGAGGCTGTAGTTTACTAGCTTGGTGTGTATACCCTGGGACGGTGGGAGTAGCGGGGGGAGCAGCGGTGAAAGGCATGTGCGTGTAGATTTTTTCAGGGGAGACAATCCAAATAAAGAGCATGCACAAATGTGTACACACGATTGCGGACATCTGTACGATTTTGATATACCTGGAATGCACCCTTCAGAGTGTGATTCACGAGTGCGCTAAAATAACCCACTAGGCCCTTTCTGCTGTTGTTTAAAAAAATCGAGGCATAAGAATAGGAAACAGATTCATAGTAGCTATTCCTTTTCATGTGCTCGAAATTTATAGATATTATGCTCTTCACATTTTGGACGCTAAGGGATTTGTTCTCAAAGTAACACAAGTTCCTTTGCAAATTGTGCAGGAATTCGATGGACGGGTTGTTTCCTTTTTCCTGAAAATGGGAAATATAGTCGATACAAATATAGTCACATTCGAACTGCACAAGAAGTGGAATAGAAAGAGGTGAACGTTCGTGACTCCATCAGGCTCAACCACCGCTCCGTCTCCCCTTCCATTTTTCATCTTACGTAATTAATATGGATGTCGTCTATGCAGATATAGAGGACGGAGTGGTGGAAATACTTTTTGACGTTTTTTTTTGTCATCCTCTCGTAAAGCACTTTAAAATTTAACACATTTGTGTTTTTTAAAACGTCGATCATGAGGTGGTCAATTTTGGAGTGATTATTCACGATTTCCTTTAGTATGGCCGTTTTGCAGTTTTCTGCGGGGGCACAAAAAAGTTCATTATCATGGGGGTAATCTCGCAGATTATAAATTGGAAAGGACATGAACAGAACAGGACAATGGACAGGAGGGTTCACAGTGCGAATTCTGCCTATATTGATGTACTGCCTATGCGAGGACGTTTCAGTCGTTAGTTTTGCCCCCTTTTGAATAGACAAATGCAGAGCTGATCTACAAACTGTGGGTTGTTTTAGATCCATATTCAACACGTGTCAAACATATTGGTAAGTGCATATGGATGGTTGCATGGGATTCATGTTACTTGTGCTTCCGATCAGGCAAATGTTGGACTCTCCCCTGTACAGCAAGCTAATAGAGTTTAGTCTCTTCTGCATTTCTTCATCGTAATATATTAAGAATTTTTCGTCCAGGTGCTTTTTCGGCGAGGACTGCACAGGGGTGACGCGAAAAAGAAAATTCGGTGTGTTACTTCCATTTGCAGAGTGGCCTCAATTTATGCTTAGCGTCTCTCACCCATGAGCATGTAGAACATCATGCTGGGGTTACCATAAAAAAATCACTGATTGGAATCCACGCATCCTTCTGTATGTGGTAAAAGGAGTTTCCGAAATTGCTGCCAAAGTTGCTGCTAACATGTGTGCCCAAATTGACGTTATTAGAAGAAGCCAATTGTTTCAAAAAGGTAAAAAAGTTATATTTCTCCTGATCATTTAAAAAATTGTTAAACAAAAAAACCAGACAACTTAATAGAATAAAAAGAGCCTTCTCTTTAATGATTGAAATTTTAGAGATTTCTTTTTTGCTATGCAATTCTACTTTTTTATTATTTTCCGCTTCAGCTTGTAATATACATACATTTTCTATGTAATTTTTGTTTATATTATCCAAGTCGTATTCCTCGTTCGTGACGTATTTCTCGTAGTTTTGTTCAGTTAGTTCCGCTTCCTTCTGGCAGTGTACACCTTCTTGTCCTTCTACCATTTGTGGCAAAGTAGACAAATCGTTATGTGCACTGCCTGTGTTGGCGTCCTCAGTGGGTAGACTGTGGTTCAGTTCCCGTTCTCTTAAAAAAATTAATATGTTGCTTTTAAAAATGTCGATGAAATTATTTATGATTACTTTTTCTTCCACATTGGTGTGGAATAGACAAGTGCGTGATATGTGGCCATCACTTAGGATTATATTTTTTACGTATTCTTCTTTTGTGTAATAATTATTTATGTTAAAGTGATTTCCTTTTTTCCTTTCTATGTAATGAAAAATTGGAAGAAAGAAATTCCTATAAAATAACTTCAATTCATTGTACAATTCGAGAAGAATTTTTTTTTTTTCTTCATAGTTGTTTATATATGTTAAAGACGTTTTATCATTCTCTGCGTTTTTTTCGAAGAAGACGTTTGTGTTAAGAATGTCATCTATCAATTTGGAGCTTTTGTTTTTAAAATAATTGTAAATGTTGATGTTGTCCTTGATGGCAATTTTGTTCATTTTGTTCAGCAGGTATGGATCCATGGCCGATATGTCTTTGCACTAGGGAGGGAAAGAGGACGCATTAGGGAAAGTACATAAGGGTGAACACTCTCCAAGGAACGATTCGCATAACAAAATGCGGGGGGGAAATAAGAACATCTTTTGATGTATGTATAACTTTTTATATGCCTACTGATTATGAATTGTGTGTAATTAACTGACGGAGACGTTGCAATTTTTTAATTATCTATGGAAGTAACTGAGGTTTTGCTCCTGACTGTTGCCTCTTTTCCGATGAGGGAAAATTTGCCTATCGTGGTAAGCCACATATGTTTATCTACGTTATTAACTAATCTGTTCCATCATTTTTTTTTTAACTTCTTTTTTCCACTCATCTGCTGCTCTATCTGTGCGCGTTTGTTCTTTACCTCAATTATTATCTTCACGCCGTTTTCTGCGTCCGCACCGTCTATGTTCTCCCTTTTAGGGTAAACCAGGTTATCCAAGGACAGCACATTGTATATGATGGGATTCAGAAAATTGAGCTTCATGATGAGTGTGTATTTTTTGTGCTTTTCTTGTTTCTTCTTTATAACTTGGCGTAGAAAAGTTTCGTTGAAATGGTTCTGGGAATCTGTGAATTGACATTTTGGGAGGAGGAAAAAGTCCATATGGTGTGTTAATATATATACGTAGGAGAAGTGTCCCCTCTAAAAACCACATTGTGATTAGTAGCATAGGCAGCTGTTTTTATATGTTTGTCCCCCTTCTCTTTCACTCTTAAATGTTTATGGTTGCTAGCCGCGCTCGCTGGGTGACTAATTTTTTTACCATACAGGGAGTCCAAATATATGAAACCATATTTATCACCGTACAATTTGCTATAAATTTTTAGCAGTGTCGACTTTCCCGTATGGGGTCTTCCATAGAGTAAAGACAGGGACTGATTATGAAGCTTCTCTTTCAGCACGTACACGTCCTTCTCGTACTTGTGGAACAGGTCTTCTTTGAGATAAATACACTCCTCTTTTAGCAGCTGCGGGGAGAGTGATAATGCATGTGGAAATATTACTTATACATATGTTATCACGATTAGGTGTGTGTATGTCTTGGGGCAATGTCGGCACTCAGGTGAACGCCCCCCCCCCCCCCCATTTGAGCCCCACTTTCCCCCTAAATATAAAAACAGTTATGTAGCGAATTGCCCACATTTTATTACCTCCTTGAGTCGTTCCCGTCCGTCTTGCAAATCATATTTCATATTCAGGTCCACGTCTAGAAATTTTTTTATCAAATTGTGCAGCTCATTCTGCTTGATATCTTTTAACTTATCGTAGTAGTAGATAAAAATATATTTTGCAAGCAACTCGTCTGTGTTCCTGTCTTCATTTTCCTTCTTGCACAACCATATAATGTTGATGATGTCATTTAGTACATTATTTTCAGAATTAAAATAAATAAAATTTAAGTACTCCAGAAAATTGTAAATTTTTAAGCACAGATTTTTCACGTTTTGAAAATTGTTCACGTAGAGGAGCATTTCCACAAGTTCGATCTGTTGGCAATTGTTTATGACAATTTCTCTGCACAGGCTCCTTAAATTGATGGGGACGCTTCTGCACCTGTTTTTGGAAGAAGCGAAGAATGTACAAGTATTGAAGGGAAGTTAATACGTATGTAGTAGGTGTGCATGCCAAATGATGATGCATTTACCCGCACGATTTCGACGTAAAGAATATCACGGAGCTGCTATTAAACACCACGTCTTTGCTGAAGAGGTAAATGTTCTTCTCCTTCTTTTTCAGGCCTTTCAATTTGGAGGCGAAAAACGGGATATGTGAAAGTATGGTACATAGGTGTGTGTAAAAGTATGCATGTGTAAATACACAAGCGGACATTATAGCCCTTCTAATTTTGCTTATTCATATAAGCAGGAGGAAAAAATGTGCTGTACATGTTTGGATAGATCTGAATGCGTTTGTGAGGACGGACAATAGTTCCACTTTCATTTCGTCCACATTTTGGAAGACCAAGGCGTAGCCTAAAAAAAAAGGTTATAAGGCGGGGGTTCATTTGGTGCGTGCGCGGGATCGCAAGTACAACGTGTGTCTACTGGGGTAACCCATCGGGGTGACCGTGCAATTACGCATATGTGAGTATAAAAATATGTTTGTTCATTTGTTTTTCATTTTTCTGGATACCCATCTGAATAGAACCCAATATGTAATTTCTTATGTTGTGTGTTTTCCCATCTAGGAAGTACGTTCTTTGTCCTACGTGAACAGGGCGGGATGAAGTGAATCAAGGAGCATTCCGCATAGTAATATCTTTATATATGCGTGTGTAAGTTTATGTGAAACGAATCGGAAAGGCGCAGCTATATGCGCGCGTCTTCCTCCTTCTGTTCTTACCTAGTGTAGATGTGATGTACCGAATAGTGCACGTTTTGTTGTTCCCGCACAAGATGTTGTAGTAGCTCTTATTCATATTGGAGCAGATCGAAAAGACGTACTTATTATTCGGCAGCATGTTTATGAGTAGGCTGTTATGTTCTAATATGTCATAATTGTATCTTAGGGGTGAGGGAAGGAAAAGACAATAGTTATTATTGTGCGCGGGGTAACATTTTTTTTTGAGGAGTGGAGATTAGGGTTTAGAAGAGCTCATCAGAGGGATGCCTTAAAAATTCCTTAATTGGAGCAAACCTCCCTGCATTTCCACACATGTGCCTATCTCATTACTTAAAAGAGTAGCTCCCATATTTTACTGCGATCTGTTCCTTGTTCTTGTCGACACTGTATCTAAATTGGTAGTGCAGGTAAAAGTTGTTTTCATCAAATAAATTTTCTTGTATGATTTTTTTTAGCGTGTCCATAAATTCCAAGTATATAATTAAGGCTTGTTCTATTTTCTGCACATTTTTTCCTTTTTCTTTTTTTATTTCCTCTGCTATGTCGTTGCACTGAGGGGTGAGGAAAGAAGCAGATGTTTATGCTTGCTCCCAGTGGGGTATTGTGTAGAGTGTTTATTCTTAAATGTTACACACTCACTGTCGTATGCACTTCTTTGCCCATCTACTGTCTTACCAAAACTTTGTGCTTGTCCAGAACCCCTTGGGTGTATTCCACACTTTTGTGCTGGAGCACATTTTTCATTTCTTCGCTTAGAATTATTTTTATGACTGTGATGGAAACGACGGACACATTGTTCATGATTATCGGGATTATCCTGAAAGGGGAGTAAAGATCGATGCGGTTATTTTCTATTTTGTGGAGTGAGGCACAACAGCATAGAGGGAACATTAACTAATGTGAAGGACAAAACGTTAGTGATAAACATCTGCATAACATTTGTAATAAATGTGCATCATGTGGCATGCACAAAAGGGCAATTTTCAAAAAGGGGGAATGAACCGATGGGGCACAGAAAAGGAGTATACAAAATACATGGTTGTGGAATTAACAATGGAGTAATGCTCCGTTGCGACGAATAGCTAGCTGATGCCAATTTTCAAGTTCATGTTAAATGGAAAAATTATGCCCACGAGCATTAGCGTAGTACAATATGTGTGCATACTTGTTAGTGTTGTAGTAGCTTTTCAAACTCGATATGATGTTTTCCTTCAGGGTACTTTTGATTTTCTCTTTCAAAATGACATATGTGTCTATCCCTATTATCTTCACCCCATTTTTTAAATTGAGCGTGTTATGCTTCGTAGTAACGACTTCGACGATCTGCGCAGCGAAAAGAACAAAAAAAAAAAAAAAAAGAATAAACAAATAAATAAATAGGCAAGTGGCTAGGAGCATATATCCATACACATTGGAAGACATTTTCAATAGCTCAGAGTGAGGAATATGCTACTATGGCGCTTTCAGCGAGTGTACCGTTTTGTCTATGTCGTTAAAGGACAAAAGTTCTTCGTAAATTATGAAGCAATATTTTTTCAAATTCTCTGTCTCAGTGTTAGCTGTGGTGGTGATGGAATGGTTTTGAGGTGGTCAAGTGTTGAACGTGCATAGGCATAGGTGTGTATTGTACATAGGTACACAATGTCAAGCGCACGATTTAGAGCACATTTATCTGCGCAAGCCTCTTTCGCCCTACACAGTAGACAGAACAACTCCTCATCGTTCAGGAAAAAAAAATCCGGAAAGGAAAATTTTTTATCTTGCAATAGGCTTATTGTCTCGTTTGACAAAAATAACACACGCTCGTAATAATTTTTCAAAAAATAAAAAAACTGAGTGTTACAAATGTGAAATAAGTTCAGATTTTTCTTCGCATTTTTCATTATCTCAAAGTAGGTTCTATTTATTTTGTTAAAATTTTTCATGTCGTTACTGAAGTGATTGAAATTTTCATTGTTGTAAAATCTTTCCAGTCTAGCCCATTTGTCTTGGGTCTACAGGGAGTGTTACGAAGGTAAGCACGTGACGACAACAGGCACAAGACCATGTGAAATGTGCAGAGAGAATAGGGTGAAGCACGTATTTTTAGCGGCGCCATTTTTTCAAAGGCGAATCGAATGCTCACCAGCATCCATAGGGACAAGAGCTCATGAATAAAAAGCAGCTTGTTCTGCAGATGAGTTATTTTGGGTATTAAATCTTGCGCGAAATTTAAGTTCCTCATTTGGTGCAAATCGTTAAATGTCTTTTTGATATTCTTAAATATGTTTTTGTTGTTGTCCAATATGAAGTGGTCGTTGCATTTTATAATTTTTAGTGTTTCCTGTTTCCAGTTATTTTCAATTTTGTTCAGGTGTTTTTCTAACTTTTCCACTTCCTGCAAGGTGGCGCGTGGTGAAAGGCGAATATGTGTGAGAGTGAAGGAGGGGGTCTACCGATTGTGCAAGTGAGTATTCGCCAACATGATTTGTGAGGTAACGCAGGTGTACCTCAGAGTGACGCCATCGGAGCGGTGTCTTATACACTCGCGAGCCTATCACAGGCTTATCTCTCCCTTTCACGCACCTTAATTTTGTATATAATGTACTTGATATCGTTAAAGTAGAGATATATTTTCAGCTCGTACATATCATACAGCGTGATCGACTTGATGTTAATATTTTTATCGTTAATGATGATGGTGTTTTCAAAGGTAACTGGGTCCTTTATGTTGTTTCTCTTCAAGTGAAGGTCTATTATTTCTTGCCAGTTGGTCAATTTCATGTTTGTGTTTTGTAGAAGATACACGATTATCAGCGTTGTGTTCATTTTGTTTAGTTCTTCATTTATTTTTTTGAATGGCTAAAAAGGGGGTAGTTGGGAGAGTAGGTTGTTGTGGAGAGGAAAAATAAAAAAAGGGGGAGCATTTTAGAGAGGAGTGGCCAGGTGAGACAGCCACAATAAGGTCATGGACAACTGTACCAAAATGTTCTTCGCCTCGGGTTGATCCTTTTGTAGTTCCATCAACTCGCTTTTTACCTCCTTTAAGGATTTATTTATTTCCTGAAGATTTAGAAAGAAAGTTAGGTGTGCAGATGAATATTTATGCTATTGTGTGATTAGCGGTGCACTGTATCCATCACCCTCATTTTGCGCAACTCCTCATTTTACACACCTTAATATTTAGCTTGTAGTATATAACGTCGAGGAAGTCATTTATCCTAGTGGTGTATGAATTGTAGATGGAGTAGATCGAGTTGTAAATCTTTATGGTGTTCTTTAGGAGGTAGAAATTTTCGAATTGGAAAATTTTCATGTTGCACAAAATTTGGGCTTTAATTATTTCCTCCTTTTCAATTTCCATTGTTTTGAAATCGTTGATGTATTTTTTTAAGCTTTCCATTCCTGGGTGACGAGAAGGGGAAAAACAGGGATAGATGTGCAGATGAGGCTTCGTCCAGGGGCACTTCTATAGAACAAATGCGATGGAGGGGAACTTTTACAAAATGCAGAAGTGATTCTCCCCTCTGCGCCCGTCGAAATTACCTTCGCTTAAGTCGATATTTTCTGAGGACGGTCCGAACATATGAAACTTTTTCAAAATACTTTTCACCTTTTCTTCAAAGACGGTTATCTAAATGGTATGGTTGGGGAAAGGGAGGTACCAAGTGGTAAAAGTTCATCACACACATGAGGGAAGACGAACGTATGCGTGTAGAGATAGTTTGGAAAATTTGCCCAAGTAATCGGTCCTGCCCATATTTACCTTATTCTTGGTGTTTTTGTAAAACTCCTGCTTTATGTTAAACATGAGGTTGTCGTTGAAGAAAGCGGAGTTGAGCATACTTAGGTACTGGGGATACAGCAGAAGCAACTTTTCCTTTTGTTCCTCCTTTGTTGTGTTGTCACCGTATATGGTAAGCATGTTATAAATTTCTTCCGTCTTTTGAATATTCATTTCAATGTTTATATTTTCAGCCTTAATCGTGTTTATCGTTTTTATGATATTCTCGTACTTGTCCATGGAGCTGGTGCATGTCTCCAGTATGCCGCTGCGGTTTCGTGTGGCATGCAAAAAGGCGACATAAAAAAAAGCATGTGTATATGTGTGTGTGGGGGTGCACTATAACACTACCAAAGGGGAAGCTCCAACATGCGTCGCTTTTTGGATTTCCCCGTGGGAGGAAAATGCACAAAGGTATATACACCCCACCCACATGAACGCTCTCAAACATTACCTATATTTCGTAATTTCGCTGAGCGTAGAGCACTTCAGCGTGGTGAATATAAAATGTAGGTTGTTAAAAAAGAACTTCTTAGAGTCGAGCAGTTTGCTTTTTATCGAGTTAAGTACGAATGAAATGTTGAGCGAGATAAATTGAATGGTCTTTTTATCGTTCTCCTTGTCAATCTTATTTTGAATGTTGCTAATATTCTTTAGGATATTATCATAGTAAATCAGAGGGTAAGAAATATTTTGGTGAATATTAAAGCTGCTCTGTGTCCTAACAATGGAGTTTATAATATTATCATAATTCATAAAACTGTATATGTATTTGTTTGCCTTTTGGAAAACGTTTTGTATTAACTGATGTATGTGTATGATCCGGTCGATGATAATTTTATTTTTGCTAACGCTTTGGTAGAAGGAGAATTTCATTTTGAGAAATTCGAAGTCTTCCTTGAGCGATATGGGCACTTCAATGCATGAGTAGTCCAGCCATCTAATAAACTCGGAAGAGGTTAGAAGTAAATTGGTTAACAATTTAGAAATCAACTTGAAGATATTTTGTATGGAGTTGTTCAGAAAAACATCCGAATAAATGTCTTCCTTGATGTATAGACAAGGCTTATAATTTTCTAGCAGTTTTTTCTGGAAATCATTTTCAATTAGGGTTTCATAATTGCATAACCCTTTAATGATAATAAGACTTAGGCACTTGTAAATTTTGCATTGGTATAGATAATACAGCTCGTCCATGATTTCACATCTTCCCTTTTTGGTTTTCTCAACTATTTGTTCTATTTTAATTAAAATATGTGATATTTCTTTGTATTTTTGTAAAATATTATGGACTTGATTTATTCTATATTCTTCAAAATAATTGAAGAATGGTTGAATGTGCAAAGGTTTCATGTTTCCCCATTCTATGTACCTAACCAAGTTAACATTTTGCATGTTGTGAATAATTTTGTCTATGCTATTGAGGGAGTAAGAGAGAGATACATGCACATTTTCGATTACACTTTTGCAATTTTTTAAATCGTTTATGTAGTGGTCTATATTTAAATTTAGCCAATTGATATTGTTCGATATATATATGAGTTTCTGTTCGAAGCATTGAAAAAACTTTATGAGGACTTTCTGTTGAATGGTGGATGTGGTTGTAGTAAAATTTTTGAAGAAAAAAATTATTTCGTTCAGCTCATACAAATACCTGTACAGCTTTCTCTTTAAATTGTACATGTTCAAAATTTCGATCGGTGTGTAAAAATCGTAAATCGATTCAATGTAGGCGTATTCGTATAAGGTCTTAAAAAAGGTGCAATCAAAATTGATTACATAAAAAAAGTTCAGCTGCTTGTTTATGGTTATTATATTGGAAGAGAGAAACTTATTCATTTGAGAGAGTGAATTGTTCTTCCATATGACGTAAGTCTCGACAATGTAGGAAAACATTTTTTTGCAAAAGTTGACGTACAGCTTAACAATAATTTTGTACTCATTAGAGGTGGTGATATAGCTATTATTTTTGAATATTAAAATTGGCATTTTTATCTTTTTGTAGATATTTAAACAGAAGAGAAACTTTTTGTAAATGTCCAGGTCTTTTTTTGCACACATGTTATTAAACAGGTCAATGTAAAGGTAGAGTTCCTTTTTGTACAGAAATAAAATATCGTAGAGCTTCTTAATCAGGAGTCTATCGATTTTGTAACTCCTCTTCAAGTTTTGAAACTTCTGCACTAAGAGGTATGTCGATTTTGTGTTCCTCAAATTGGAAAATTGAATATAAATAATTTTGATGCATTTTTTTTCTATCTTCAAACATTGCTCATTTAGCCTTTTCATCAGCTGCATTATCGACTCGTCATCGTATAGGTAGATATTCTTAAGTACATCGTTAAAGGGTTCGTACAACTTATTAATTTCTAGGATGATGCTGTTCATAATGTGCTTATTATTTACCAACTTTTTCAATTTTAGAAGACACAAATCGGTGAAATAAATAATTTCTGAATAAACGGTGTATAGCGTAGCCAAGACATGTTGCAAGTGTCTTATATTTTTGAAAATAATATTTTTGTCAAAGTACCAATTTTTTCGAATATCGATCATTTCGATGTCTAATTTGACGTAAATGAATTCTTTTTCGTAAAATTTTAAAATGTCTATACATTTGGAAATGACCTTTTTTATTCTCTTTGGCTTATTCATTTTTTTGACCTTGATGGCTAGGAAAAGGATAAATTCGAATATAATGTCGGAGAGTCTAACAAAGAAGGCAATTATAATTTCATCTTTTCGGAAATATTTTGAACTTAGCCATATATTTTTTAATTTTCGAGTGACCAATTTAATGCCATTTTTCATTTGGTTGATATGATTACATTTTAAAGATTCAAAAGAATTTTCCAAAATTTTACTAAATTTGATCATTTCAAATGATTCCATGTGCATATTTTCCACCTCTTTGATTAGTAATTTTATTTCGTTGCACAATTCTTCGTTGTAATTTTTGCCCTTAATATTTTCTATAATTTGTTCAAACTTTTTGCTGTTAATTTTTTCAATTAAGCTGTAAATTCTGTGATACCTTTCTTTCCAGTACTCCACTGCCGTTTTGTCATTTTTCCTCTTTGAATCATTTTTCTTTTCTTTGATGATAAAATCTTTTATTATGTTTGAAATGTTTCTCAGGTAATTGTTTATGTTAATTGTGTCATCCTTAAGTTTCATTATGTCAGCATTAATTTCGTTGTACGACATTTGTTCCACTTTCAAAATTTGTTTGTAATAGCTTAACAGGTAGTAGAAGGAGTTAAGGAGGTTTTTATTTTTGTGCAAATTTTCCTCTTTCTTTGTCACACTAGGATGGATTCCATCCTGAGTTGGAATGTAACCTCGGTTGTTACTTTTAGTTTTTGTTATCCCATCCACAGCCTTGTCTTCTGTCCCGAATTCATTCAACTCCTCTGCGTGTTTTCCTCTCTCCATGATATACAAATATTTATTTTCGTTCAATTCGTTCGTGTAATCTATTTGGTTGGTCAGCATTTCCGTTTTTTTAAGATGCTGTAGTTTGCTTAAAACCTGGTCAATTTTTACACTTTGGTCTATGTCCTTCCCGATGTACTCAAACACTTGGTTTTTTTTTAGTAAGCATTGAAACAAGGGGATAAAAAAGGTTTTAAAGTAAGCCTTCAGATTGTTAATATAATTGTGGTGTAAATTTCCAAACGTGTAATTGGTGTTGAAATACTCGTCCAGGTTTTCGTGCCCGTGATAATTTGGGGCACTTTTAATTTTTAACAAGTACACTATTTGCTTGGTTGCCTGTGTCTTCTTTTTGTTTGTCTCCTCTGCTGTGTTGGAGACGATGTTGGATGCTGTTGTCGCTTCTTCATTTTCTTCTTTCACGTCGTCCGCTTCTATATGTCCCAAGCTCATTTTTAAGGTGTACCGTGTTTTCGTTTTTTTCTCTTTCTTATTATTATTTTCTTCAGAGGGAGGGTTCTCCTTTGGTGATGCCTCCTCCTTTTCATCCTCCTTATTCGCCCCATCTGTGGAATTATCAATAGACTTGTTGGCACTCTGGGTCTGTTGTTTCTCCTTTTTGTTTACCTCTATATTTGTCTCCACTTTATCATTATTCGCTTCCTCTGATGGGGATGGAATTTCCGATTCGTATTCTGCTTTCGTGCCATTTGCCTCCCTTTTTGGCGTCTTTTCCCCATCATCATTCGCTATTTCGTTTTCCCCTTCTTCGCTTTTGCCTTTCACTCCGTTGTCAGTTTCATCAACATGGCTGTGATTGTTTATTTGCTCTGTTGTTTCTTCTCCTTTATCCTTTCCTCCATTTTGTGTATCCCCACTAGAATCTTTTGTGTCTTGCTCCTCGTCATTTTGGAAGGTGTCTATTACTTCGTTCGATTCGTCCTCTTAAAAAGAGTATGGATAAAGAAAAGAGAAGAAAACTTATTAAATAATGCTCGTTTGAGGAAAACAAAAAGTGGGTGAAAATTCTTCCCCTTTTCTAACTCCTTACCGTAAGTGTACCTATGTAGCACGAAAAACAAAGTGCTTTTTACAGGTGCCGATAGAAAGAAGTAATTTAAATCGTCCTTATTCTGTCCCTAATAAGTTGAGAAGGGTTAGAAGTTGCAGGTGTTTCTCCCATCCATGTGGTGGCAAAACGGTGCAAAAACATAACAGTGAACAAATTTGAACAAGCGTTCTGTTAAGCGAAATTAAGGTTAACTAACTTCCTGTATGAGGCCATTAAAAACGTCGCTTCGAATCCTCAACAGCGAAGTGATCTTTTGCTTTATGTAGCATTCCAGTTCATCATTCATGTTTTGAATCCTGGAATAGTTGAACGTATGTCTTTGAGCAGGACAAAAGAGTTAACCGAAGCGCGCGAAAGCATATGCACAGAATACATGTATGGATGTCTAGATTATGAGAATGGAAAAAGTGTGTTTGCGTGTGTAGGTGCAGATTAGGTGTTCTTTTTTGATATTCCGTAAAACGCAAAATTTTTATAGATGCAAAATGGGTCCTATAATATAGGTTTCGTCCCACTGTGAATCGGGCATTTTGGGCGTTTATGTTTTTCCTTAATTTATGCAGATGGGGAGGGGCATGCATTTGAAGCTCTACCTTGGGAAAGCTAGCTTCCTCCTTTGTCTCGATGAAGTGTCCTCTAAGCAAAAATGTACACAAAAATATACTTGTAGTTATTAAAATGTGGGAAAAAAAATATTACACTGTGTGCAGTGCACTTTGTCTAGCGCCCGTTTTTTCCCCTATAATTAATACGAGATATTTTAAAAATTTACACGTTTTTAACGAGACCTGGGATTCTAATAATGTTTTCTGTCAGAATTAATTTGTGAAGGCATATGATTATTACTAACTCTTTTTTTATGTATGTGCAGTTTTTTTTGTGCCCCCTACCTTAAAATTTTTTTTTGCACGTTTTGCTTTAGGATTTCCCCTAACAGTGGGGAGCACACCAAGGGGTTCACCAAAATGTGCTAGCCATTTATTCAATGTACAATTAGAGGTAGAAGAAATGAAAACCTTTTTTGGATTTAAAAATGAAAAGGTAGACAATATTTAGCAAACAGTACAAAGATTTGCATTCCCCAGGTATGAGTCATATTTCATTACCCCTTCATTGCATTGTTAAAAACTTCAAAGTACATTTTGCCGTAAAATGGAGAAAAGTGTGGCGATCTTTTTGTACGCACATCCTCTTTTGATTTGCATGAATAGAAAACCGTTGCACACATTAAAGGTGTGTGAACAGGAAGGTTATTTGAACGGTTGAAATTGTTCGAACAGGGGAAGCAAAAAAAAAAAAAAAAATGAGACAAATGTACTCATTTAAGTAGAAAAGAACAAAAATATTTTCTGGACAATTGCAAAGCAACGGGCATAATTCTTTACACATTTTGTAAAGTATCTACAGAATGGGACTGCGTTAGAAATGAACCATAAATTGTTAAAAAAAAGAAAAAAAAAAAAAAGGTTCGGTAAATAATGTGGATATAATATATGAACAAATGAAGGGAGGTATGCGCGGTAAAAATGGGTTGAACAACGAAAATGGTAAAGAAATGAAAGATATTTCAGTAGGAATGATTTGTTCAAGTTGGCAGGGTTAACTGGACGACAAATTGTTCCAATTAATGTTGTGAATTAAAACTTTAAAGAGGTCAACTATAATAATGACGAACTAGAATTATGAGGAAAAAAAGCCAATTGCTTGTGTAACTCTGTGATGTAATTGTAGCCGATGTATGCCTTTTCAAAAAGGACGCAGAAATGGTAGTAAGCTTTTATAATCATTACACCTGACATTGACGCTTTGCTTCTGGGAATGTCCCCTTTGTGCTTGCCCTTTTGAAGAAAAAGCAAAAAAATAAATACATACCGATTAAGCGTTCGGCAATATATTTTGCGATAAAATGGGGCTACTTTCAAACAAGAAAATGCTAACACATGAGTGGTGAACGGGACAACAAAAGGAGGGGAACACACAAGAAATAAGTAACACAAGCTATGGGGAGAGGGAAAAAATATATGCCAAAAAATGAAATAGTAAGAAAGCACTATGGGAATGATTAAAGGAAAGTCAAATTACACAAATGCAGAAAAAATGAACTGTATCACCCAAAATATATTGTAAAAAAAAAAAAAAAAAAAAAAAATAAACGCATAATGCACTAATGCATAAAAAACGAAGAAACTAGATCAAAGTACATACAAATTTGGCTAAAAAAAAAAAAAAAAAAAAACTATAAAAATGTGCCATCATTTTTTAAGAAAGGAAATTTAAACATTAGAGCAAAATGTACTGAGATGTTTTAAGTTTGAAAAGGAACACAAATTCGTGTAATGTGCCATTTCGTGTTCGTAAAAATTATTCGTCGTTTGAGAATATCTCACCAGAGCGGTGATACATACATGAGCAAATGCGCTAGTCCGTACACATAAACATTTTCCGTTTTTGACCAAATAACCTGTGCGGAAGCACGCGTGAGAGCATATGCCTCCGTATAACCGGCTTCCCCATTTTGTGCCGCCGAAGGGATAATTTAATTTATAAGGGCAGTACGTTCCTTCTCTTCCATTTTTATAAATTCCCCCTCCTCCCTTTCACACTTACGAAATAATGACAGAAACGGATAAGTGGGACTCCCGAATCAGTAGCCCAGTAACCAGAATAAAACATTTACATGAACATAATTTGACCTACTACAGCAAGTGTATGTTCGGGGGTGTCCTGTCTTGTGGATTAACACATACAGTAATTACACCGTTAGATGTTACAAAATGTAGAATCCAGTCGTATCCTCAAATATATAAAAACCTCTTCCAGAGTGTACATAAAATAATCAAGGAGGAAAAGGTAAGAAGCTTAGGATTAGGATGGTCTCCAACATTAATAGGTTACTCCCTTCAAGGGTTATGCAAATTTGGCTTTTACGAAATTTTTAAGGATGTTTATTCAAATTATTTAGGGGAAGAATATTCCTATAAGTACAAAGGGGTAACATGGCTAATGGCATCCGCATCAGCCGAATTTGTGGCGGATATTTTCCTATGCCCATTCGAAATGATTAAAGTGAAAATGCAAACGAGTAAAGCAAATACATTCCCCACGAGCTTGTCCGCATCTATGTCCTTCATGTTAGCAAATAGGAAAGAAACCAAGTTCCCTTTTGGTAGTGTTACACCCTTGTGGTGTCGTCAGATACCTTATACCATGGCGAAATTTTATTTCTTTGAAAAAATTGTACAGTTAATGTATGACCAAGTTTTTACCGACCCGAAGGATTCCTATTCCAAGTCTACTCAACTGGGCATCACTTTCGCATCTGGTTATTTGTCTGGAATTATTTGCGCCCTTGTTTCGCACCCGGCAGACAATATGATATCTCAATTAGGAAAAGTAGAAAATAAGGGGAAAAAATTATCAGCCATAACGAAAGAAATGGGTATGGTAAATTTATTTACCAAGGGCATATGTACGAGAGTTTTAATGATTGGAACTTTGACCGGTTTGCAGTGGTGGATTTATGACACCTTCAAGGCCGTTATGGGTTTGGGTACCTCGGGCAGTGGCTCATCCGGGAAGAAATAATTCCTGTGGGGAGAAAAATCGCACGATTTTTATAACCTTCAGTGAGAAAAAAAAAAATTAGCAGCACAAAACTGGAAGGAAATAAGAAGGGACAAAAAAGGTATGCCTACATTTTAAGCATATATAAAAGGCCCCCAACAAAAGAGGAGGCCTCCTTATGAAGAAAGACAATATCATATAAACATACCACAAAAAATTCATAAAATTGCCTTTCCATTTTGTTCTTTGTTTTATTTTTGTTTTTGCACACATTTTTGAAAGTGCATTTGGAGGTACATGAACTAAAATCTGTGCGCATTGTTAGCCTTCCCCAAAAAAATGTACACCTGTGTGTGGTACATATTTTTGAAGTTTCTTTATTGTTCTTTGTCTATCTCGTGCTTTTGTGTAAAAAAAAAAAAAAAAAATTAAAAACATTCAAAACATTCGAAACAGTAGTAACAATTATGATAGTGAAAAAAAACACAATCATGTATAGAATAATCGGAAAATTGTGTACAGTTCCTTTGCCCAGACAATAGGAAACAAAAAAAGGGGAGAACTAGTGGTACAGATAAACGAACCACGTAACTCCTTGATCGCCAGAAAGGTTCATATAAACATACAAATTCGCATGCACACAGGTATCACGTGTGTATGCATTAATATGCAGTTAAAAATATAAATCAAATATGATTCTAATTGACATGATAGGGTTAATACGGAATAATTTACAAAATTGTTCGTGAAATCAATGCAAAAAAGGAGAAAAAAAAAAAAAAGTATTCTTTTATTGCTTTGCCTGCTTAGCAATGGCTACCTTAGTGGCTTTCATGGCCATTTGCTATTTGCTTGCATAATCACTCCAGCTCTTAACTTCCCTAAACTTCAAGTTGTTCGCTGAGAAAGGACAAAAAAAAGGTGAGTTTTTTTTTTTTTTTTTTCCACGTGAATAAACTGTGTATAGATGCACTTTCCCATTGCCTCTTCACATTCGCTAGCTTACAAACAACTTGGTGCTCCTCCTTAACACTTTCTATAATGTCTTCGTATTTTTTTTCCACATCCAGCCACAAGCTTAGGGTTTTTTCGCTCAGCAAAAGCGGGGATCTATTTGTATGATTTAAATGGAAAAGATGAAACGTATGTGTGATTGATCAATTTTAAGGAGGTAAAATAAAAAAAAAAAAGGGGTTCAAAGGCAAATATGTAAAATGCTACCATCCCAAAAAGTGTAAGCAGTAGCACGTGCACACATGTATGTGAAACCTGTCGTGGATGTCTTTCAGGGCGGAATTCTCGGAAGCGGTTGTGATTATGGTGTATCTGCAATCCTTTTTGTCCTTATCCGAGATGCTGTAAAGGCCTGGGAAAAACAAAACATGGAATGGTAAACTCAATATGTATCGCTTTGATGCTCCTGGCGCTGTCTTAGGGATTCCTTGGAAAAACGCATTACTGCTAACCTGCAATTATTACATAGGACTTCTCGTTCTCGTCATCTTCCTCTTGATCTGCTATAGTGAGGTAATTGAAAACCAAAAAAAAGAAAAAAAAAAGAAATGGGACATTGGATTTTTTCATAATTCTGAGAGGGGGAAAAAGGAAAAAACATATATATATGGTATAAATATGGGGAAGGAAAAATATACATATATATGTATCTATATATCTGGTGGTGTCTCTTCAAATCTGCTCATTTTCGTGTTTTCCTTTCTACACTTACATTAAAAAGGGAAGGCCTTGTCTGATTAGCATTTAACCCTTATGGGTGATGAAAAATGATCAGAGGTGCAACAAGTTCAAGCAAAGGATTCGTAATTGTCACAATAATAATAGCAGTGACAATTGCCATTATTGTATACTATTATAATTATTTGCTCTTTTAAAATTACCTTCGCTCGGTAACTCTGTCTTAATTTTTTTTTTCTTATTCTCTTCCGTTCCTTCATTTTTTCTTTTTTGAGCACCCCTATCCGTTACCGTCGTTCCTCCTTCATTGATGGGGGCCTCTTCTTTTTCTTCTACCTCCTTTACTCCCTTTTCATCTTTCATTTCCTTCTTAATATCGCCTTTGTTGTCTTCGTCTGACTCTATTTCTTTCTTTACGCTAATTCTAATGGTTTCTCCCTCTTTCTTCACACTGGGCATAATTTTTTCTTCGCTCTTTACTTCCGTCTTTTCCACAGGTAATTCCTTAATATTCGCTTCGAGTTTTCCTTCGTTTACTTCTTCAGAAGAATTTTCATCCTTTCCAGAAAATATAAAATATGGTACTTTCTTTGAAGAGCCCTTGACCTCCATCCATTCGAAGTAGCCGTTAACCACAATGGCACATCGATTCTTATTGATTAGCATGCTGTGTGGTGTGTGAAAAAAAGCGGCGACAGGTATGCACACATGTACACATATATGCATATACACATGTGTGCATATATTTGTTTATCTTTTTGCCACGGTTCACATGTGTAGGCGTAGAGATTGGCCCCTCGGGAGGCAAACCTACTTGAAAGACTTCTTCCATTGCAGGCTCTCCACCCTGGCGTTAATCAAAAGAACTTCCTTGTCGAATTTTCCGAAGTTGAATGGTTTTAGTCCCCACAGGCAAACTTGAATTACCTTAATTTTTTGTAGGTCTTTGTTTCCCTTTCCATTTTCAGCGTTCTCGTAGATAATGGGCATGTAATTTTTCCTAAAAATATTTTTAAGTTTGTGCGGAACAGAACACGTCACGTCATGTCATATTTCGTCCAGCGCACTCGATGCAGTTACAAGAAATGGTTAAACGTTTAATTATGCCCCGTGCATAGACATATATAGAGGTGTACGCATATGCACGTTTTATATGTGCTAATGTATGCAGCACATTGATAGCGATTTTTTTTTTTTTTTTTGTTTTTTTCTTTACTTATTTATCATTCCTCTCCTTAATCCTTCATTGTTCAGAATTTGCTTGCAGTTGTACTTTCTTTTCAAAACGTCTAGGTCGATATTGTAGTATACTCGTACACACATCTTCGCTTTATATATGTGTGTCCTCAACTGTGGTAAATATTTCGACAAAAAAGGGGATTAAACGGAAACGTTTTTTTTCTGTACTTTCGAAATTTTGTGAAAAAATGTAACAGGAAAAATGACGAAATAGAATAGGAATGTTGCTCTTGCAGTTGTTTTGCTTTATAGAGGTTGGGCTTGTGAATATATATATTTTTTTTTAATTTTTTGTTTTTAAGTATATTCTTTCTGAAGAGAAAAAAAAATGTAATTTAATTAAAACACAAACAATTTCATTTTGATAAAAATATAAAAGGGATGAAAAAAAAAAAAAATCATTTATAAAACTAAAACCAATGAATGTTAAACAATCTTGGGATAACTGAAGCCTCTAAAATAAACTGAAGAAAAAAAGAAAAGGGGAAGTCTTCTGGTTATCATTTTTTTTGGTGAACCTCAATGATGTAGGAAAATATCGATTTAGGGAACGCCTCTTTTGCTTAACAAGGACTGTCATATATAACGTAAGAAGGAAGAAAAAGTAAATCTACCCATATAAATGTGTACCTATATATACGTACACGTTGATGTCAGCACCATACAGGTATGCTTTACATGTCCATATGGGTGAACAAGCTTGTGTACGTTGACGCATATAGGGGCCCCTACATTAGCCATGAGATTATGCGCACATTGATTTGTATGTACCTGTACGCATGTACCAATGCGCTGAATATATAAGCAACTATATGTGCACGAGCGCCCGTGCAAACACCGACATGTACATGCGAGCACAAATGAATAATTGCATGCATACATGTGCACATTTAAATGCCGACACATGAATATTGGTATATAGGCTTCTATAAATTCTGACATGAATATACGTGTATGCGCCGTTGGGAAAATGGCTGTATGTCGGTGCGTGCACGCACGCACGTATCTCTACATGTACCACTGCTTAAAAGCATGTGGAGGGACTACAAGCTGCGTGACATCTTGCTTTTAACGACGTTTTTTCCACTAATTTTGGTTCGTTTTGTGAACTGAACATATGAGAAAACAGAAACAAAAAAAAAAAAAAAACAACCGCGAAAAAGTTTTTCCTTCCGGTTGCATTTTGAACGAGCATAGGATAGGGAGAAAAAGTCGCTATGCTTTTTCTTTTTTTTTAAAAAGCTGAGATGTATATATGTAGCGTTTTCATTTTTAACTGTTTTAGAGGAATCACATGAGGGAATAAAGCAGATGGACAAAATGCCCATCAAAGCGGCATTAATCCAAAAATGTACAGGCCGAAAACATCGGGGAGAAGAACAGCAGTATGCTGAACATGCGAAGGAGAATAATGCCACACAATTTGATGGCGAAAATGCTCTAATTGTAGAGAGTTTTTCCACCCAAAAGAGATTGGAGATGACCAAGATATGATGTCGTACTTGTGTGTAGGAGAAATAGCTCACCGTGGTGTTTTCACCCCGATTAAGAAAAAAATGTTGTGTAAGGGTCATATTCCTATACGGGCCCTTAATGACATTTCGATCAAAAGAACCATTTCTACAACAATAAAATTGGTTAATTATAATTACAATTTTTTGGTGCGAAAGAATGAAAAAAGAGACTACAGATTTTTTCACTGTAGAAATAATTTAAACGGCCATTTATTTGAAGGCAAAAAAGAAATTGGAAGAAGCAAAAGTAGCATTTCGTATAGCAGCAATATTTATCAAAAGGTGTATGATGAAAATTCTTCAGAGGGCTGTAAGGATGAGGCAAATTTTCCAAATGTAGAAAAAAAAACTGCTAACTGCAAATGGGAAGAAACGATCCGACATGAGTATCTCACAAATGGAAATACACAGCCGAGTGGACAGAATAAAATTTTAAACAGACATGAATACATCGATCTGAATTTGCTAAACATTGATGAAGAAATTGTGAATAACGTAAAGCTGATCCTCAAAATAGATAAGCTGTACATGTATCAGTACATAATTTTTAACGAAATTTTTGCAAACAATTGCAAGCATATACTTGTCTACAACAAGACAGGAACGGGGAAAACACTCAGCTACTTGTTACCGTTAATACAAAAATTGATAAATGAAAAATTCGATTGTAATAGGAAGATATTAATTTTGACGCAAAATATTTATCTCTGCAAACAGTTATATATTTACATTTTGTCCATTTACCCCAATTTAAATGTGTGTATTTTGTTCGATGAGCATGATCCCCCTGATCGTGTGAAAAAAAATATAAAAGAAGACGTAATTGGGAAGGAGGAATTTGCTCATAAACTCAATGAACAAAACAATCATTTGAATAGAGAAAACTATGGCATCCATTTTTACCTAGCGACGCCAAATAAATTAGAGTTTTACATAAAGAATTATAAGAATACTAAAAAAAATGAAAAGAACGTCATGAACAATATTTTAAATTGTGTACACACTATCGTCATAGATGAGTTTGATTATGTGGTTGAAAGTAGAAAGTTGATTTTCAATTTTTTATTTAAAAGGGACTTACTGAACGGGTTGAATGATGAGGTGACCGCAAAAAGGAACGATAGTAATGGGGAAAATTTTAATCGTGAAAATTACCAAATATATTTGTTCACAGCAAATATGAATGAATTAATAAGGAAAAAAATTAACGACCATTTATGCGGTTTTGTTTTTTTCGATTTTATTAATGGGGTTAAAGAGGTTATACAAAATAAAGTGGATGAAGAAAGAGCCAGTGTGTTAAAAAATTCGCAACATATAGTTCAGTTGCTGAGCAGAGAGAATAAGACTTCCAGCCTGTGCAATTTGAACATTGGCCACTTTGTATGCAAAATAAATACACCCTCGAAGTATAAGTATGTATCCTATTTTTTAAATGAATTCTTTTTTGAAAAGAGAAACAATGTGTCAGGGGTAAGGGGGACTCACCTGTTGTCCGACAAAAATGACGACTGCGATGGTGACAAGTTGATCCGAGATTACATGGGCACGAATCCCCCTGAGGAGAGGGAGAAGGAGGATAAAATAAGCAAGTGCATAATTTTTGCCAACTCCAAGGAAGAGGTAACTATGCGTTATGACGTCTAGGTTGTGCGTTTTTCTTTACCGTGTGTACACATCGCTGCTACCATCGCGCTTGCCAAAATTTTCCAACAAAGTAGCGAAATTCGCTTCATTTTCATATAACCCCCCCCTGTGAAGGTTGAGAAGCTGCACGAGAACTCTTTTCTGAAGCCCCACTCCGTTATTATGCACTCGGAATTGCTAACGTTGCAGAAAAACGAAAATATAAACTTGTTTAAATTGGGTAAAAAGCCTATCCTCATCACGACGGATATAGTGAGCAGGGGGCTCGACATAGACAACGTTATTTTCATTCTGAATTATTCGCCCCCCACTTCCCCAAATGATTACATACATAGGTAAGACGCGGACAGTTGCACATTGAGAGTGCGCAAGAAAAATATCTCGCTTACCGTTCATTTGTTAACATGTCGTGCGGAATTAATTCCCCACTTTTGCAGATCGGGTCGAACAGGAAGAGCAAACGACAAGGGAGTTTGCCTAACGATGTACCATAAATATGAATATAAAAATCTGGACAAGATAATGAAGTATACCAAAAATAATTTTCAAGTTATTTTATGCCCCCATGTAGATGAAGTCTACAAATTTTCTGTGGACAGTTTGACAGGTACGCAGCACGGGGGGGGGGGGGGGGAGGACGAGTGATCGGTGGAAAATTATCAAATGGGGAAATTGCCCTAAATGGAGATGCTCAGTTATGTTGATGTGGCGAATTGTATTATGCATATGGTAAAAAGGTTTAGTGTGTACATGTGGCTTCCCTTTTGCGCTTTTCCATCCCTTTAGAAAGCATAATGAAGATCGCACCCGAGGAATACGAATTTCTTAATGATAGATCACAGGAGCTACTAAAAACGCATGGTACAAAAATCATCGCGCAGGTACTCTCCGTTTTGCTAAAACATGACAAAAAGGGACACACTGTTTCTCTGCTATCTGGAAAGAAGAACTACGTCGCTGTTTTGATTAAGGATCCATTTTTTGAGGTAAAAAGTTGCACAAGTGGAAGAGTGTCAGAAATTGCCCATTATGCGTCCCAAATGTGGAGTGACTGGTTAATGCATATGTTCATATGCATAGGAGCACACATTATAGCTCGCTTAAGCAGACAACGTAGTTTGAAACACCCCGATCTCATTTACCCTTCTGAACAGGCAATAAGAAATAAGGACGATATTGTTAACTTAATGAAAGTCACTACAGGAAACAAAAATGTGTCAAATGTAAGAGCGCATAAATGGGAAAAAATATATAAAAATAAATAAATATCAGGAAGACTTCATTGTTTTGCCTAATTCCCCCTTTTAGGTTGTTGGAGATGTGGCCAAATGTGATGAGGGCTACATTGCAGACATTTCTAGCACGCACGTTAATAAAATTATAAGCTTGTTCAATAGCTCCAACTCAGAATATAAGAACAAGGGTGTGCAAATTGAAACTGTAATAGAATTACCTCCATTGATCCGCGAGAAAAAAACCATCATAAGAAAAAACAGAAAAGTCCCATGGATGAAATAGTATGCATTTATAATTACATAAAAAAAATGTTTAGTCATATTGTGATTCCATATCATGTATAAATTAGCTAAACCTTGTGAGAGGATGCTCATGACTTCACATTTTGTACATTCTTCCCTTGTTTAGGAGGGCATATGCACATGAATGAATAAGCGTTTGTGTACATGGGTCTGATATCCCGAAAGAGTGTGAAAAAACTGCCCTCACACATTTGTAGCTATACAAATTGATCAAATAGAAAATGTGTTTTTTTTCTTTGTACACATTTAAATTATATTTAAGTGTATAGCTGATTTGTTGTACGTAATTTTTTTTTTTTTTTTTTTTGTTGTTTTTTTAAAAAACAATGCAAATGTTCATCATGCAATTTCTCCCTCTACATCTTTACAAATGTGCAGCGCTCCTTTATGTGAGTTTTCACGTATGCGTTTATTTTGCGCATTGCAGTTCACGTGTCGTTTAGGTGAATGCAAATCGTTTTAATTCACTTCTGTATGCCTATTTTTTCCTTTACAGCAAATTACAGAAAAAGAAAATTATATTGTTAGGAAGAAAAACGAGCGAGTATAAAGGGAAAGGAAGCGCCGAAATTATAAAAGACATTAATAGGCAAAGCTAGCCCCGTTCAGTGGACGTCCATGGAATTACATAAAAGGGGTGAGGTAAATTAATTTTCTTTTTTGTTTTTGCGTTCTCCATGAACGTGCACAATTTTTTTTAGCAATTATTCCTCACCCTTCTCTTTCATTTGCGTGAATTCTCAATTGCATATGCGATACGATTGAGCGGTTTCGCATTTACGAATTTACGCCGTTACGCCGGTGTTCGATTTTTAATGTATACAAAGCTAGGGAGATATAGCTTGGGCGTACATTGTTCGTTCCATATTTTAAATTTTAACAATCATTAAACGTTTATTTGTTACCTCAATTTTGTAAAATTACTTTAAGTTTGTGGAGATCTGATTTTTTATTTCCCCCTTTTGTCAAGCTTCAGATGTTTTTCTTCCATTATAAGAAAAATTTCATATGTTCTTAAAGTGAACATCGATGGGCAAACGTGCATTGTGCATTTCGATGAGGAATAACCCTTTCATATTTTTATATAGCATTACACATATATGTATAAATGTTCGCACATGTGCACATACACATTTGAGATGACCCGTTTTTTGAGGCAACAATTTTAAGGATTCAGTTCTCCACACTTTCCCATCCATTTTGTTTAAGTACACATATATATCAGATAACGCTGTGGACCTCTCAAGTGAAAAAGGGAAAACCATTTTATGTATATGTGATGTGTTTAAAAAAAAATTAGCCATGAATAAAAAAAAAAAATTAATAAACAGTTAATGGACACGTGAGCCCATGAATGCTTAAGTAATATTCTATAAGTGGAAACAAAAAAAAAAAAAAAAGAAAAAAACGCACATAAGTAGCAAAATAAAAAAAAATTGAAAACTGAAAACTGAAAAAATAAGGAATCTTTAAGGGCGAGAAAGGAGAAGCATTCAATTGTTTATATATGCCTGGTGTAATAATGAGAAGTAGGGCACCATCGAACGCATCAACGGTAATGAACATTAAATAAAAAAACAAAAATTGTTCAAGTTATGTTACATGAGCCAGCAGGAAATGTATATATATATTTTTGTGTAGTGTATGCTTGGAGGATTACATATGTGCATGCATATTCGGACATACCTACATTTATGTGTAACTCTCCCTTTAGCCAAAAGAGTGTGTGTGTATATGGCACTATGTAATTATTCGCACGCTTGAATAATAAACGTAACGGTGCGTCGTTTTTCGAGTTGGCCAATTCATCCGTATGATGCTCAACTTTGTCCTGCGCATATTCCTTTTTGCTGTTACGTGGAAAAATTTCCTAGACAACATAAGAGTTGAGTGGCATTGCAAAATGTTGCGTGGATGTTTCTTTTGAAACCATATATTTAGGTGTACAATGAATTATATGTTCATATATATATATGTATTTGTTGTCACATTTTGCAGAAAAAAGATGAAAGCTTAAAAAAGGTATGCGTAATTAATAAGAATAATGCTGTGAAAAGCGAAAAGAAGAAACGGATCAATGATAAAATTAAAATTTGCAAATTAAAAAGCCAGTGTAGTGGTGTCAAGGGTGAAAAAAACAAAAGGAGCAAGCATGGCGAAAAGAGCATTGTGAGGAAGAAGGCCAAGAAAAGTGATAGCGTTAGTAGTGAGTCATTCAGGGAATCGATAGAGGAGGAACTCGATGGGGAAGATGAGGATGTATATGATGAAGTGGACATGGACGTGGACTTGGATTCGGATATGGAAACCCATTTAGATGAAGATGACGAGGATGATGATGCGGGAGATGAAGACAAAGACGAAGCGTTTGCTGATGCCAGGAAGTATTTTAAAGAAGGGCAAAAATGTATTACCCCCCCGAACGGGGATGGCACAAGAGCTTTCTACGAAAGTCTACTTGAAGAAAATCCCAATTCACTCATTGCCCTAAAGTACTGCATAGAACATGGAGTTCTAACTGGTACGAAACATCACCAGGGGATATATAAATATAATATACTTAAAAAAAATAACGCATTTAGAAATAACTTTGGTGGTATACGAGCTGAGTTTATTAAAATGTTGGAACAGCCTCCTAAATCTGAAGAAGGTTCCTATAAATATTCTGATGATGATTTGATAAAAAAGGAGATTTGAAGCAAATGATATCATTGGCAGGGGGGAAAAAAAAAGGGTACTGTCTGCCTGCATATGCAAACACGTTTATGGTCTCATTTCAAAATAGACAGCTGCTTGGTGAAATACAATGCAAGGAGGGTGGCTGTAGACTTTATAAGCAGTTCTAAAAGAAAGTGCGAATACCCTTTTTTTACATATTACAATTTCTCAAGTTTCATCACTTTATATACGATTTATTATTTCCGTTTTAGCTTTTTTTACAATCATGTTTTAAGTAATTCCGCACTTTAAAAGGGGGGACAGGAAAAACAAAAAAAATGAACATTTTAGTCTCTGTTTTGCCTCATTTTTTTTTTCTTCGTACCTCTTTGAGAGATGTTTTGTTATTCTGTTTATTTCTACAGAAATATAGCTATATTTATCTTCCACACCGTATGCACAATTTTTTTTTTTTTTTAACTTTGTTCTGATGATAATTGCATAAGCAATTATATATACAATTTTTTTACACCTTTACATTTGGAGCCCCTGTTCTGAATGATTTTTTATCCCATTTTTAAATGATTAAAAAAATATGCATTTTAAATGGTATTTTGCTTATATGCAACAAAGAACAGCCCTATTTTGAATATTATTTTTTGTGAAAGCTTTTAAGAAAAGCCACATGTTCGTGTAAAAATATGTATGCGTGTAATCTTTCACAAATTTACGAAGTGACACGAATAATTTTACGTATATGTGGAAACTGATAAATAAAAAGTTTCCTTGTTCATTTTTTTTTTTTTTTTTAAAAACATTTTCACTACAGCTAATTTTCTGCCTTGTTTAATTTTTCCGTTTTTTCTACCTACATATAACTACTTTAAGAACATGTAATAATTTGAAACAATTCTCTTCCAACAGTTATGCGGCATGAAGGGCATATTTTTCATGTTGCCAATTTGCGCAAGGGACAGATATAGTACAAAATGATTTTCAATTTTTTTTTCATGTTATGATTTATGTGCGTTTTTTTTTTTGTATAGATGTTAGATTAGTTTTAGGGGTAATACAAAATAACCATAGCGGAAGGTCTTCATTTCAGGAAATTGTTTCATTGGCCGCTGCACGCAACGCAACAGGGTTCGATCTTTGAGTTGTGTATTCGCTTATATGTACTTATATGCGCACATTTCTACATGTATTAAAGCTTTAGCATTTGCGTATGAATTATTGTTCAAATCGAGAAGGGCGAAAGAAAATACAGAAAATGGAATTTTCAGCAAAAATGGAAACTGTTCAAATTATGTAGTGTAAAACTAAGAAAATTGAATATCATCAGAAAAACTGCCACAGAATGGACAAAAAAAGGAGTATAGTTAAGAAGCCAGAGAGGGGGAGCTTCCTGCTGGATCACAACAGTGAATGCACATCAATAAAAAATGATTATTTAAAATGCTTAAAGGAACACAGTAATGATCATGTTAGTTGCAGAGAATATTCGAAAGAATATTTTATTTGCCGAATGGACAAAAATCTACTCGAAAGGCAAAGTTTAAACGATTTGGGTTTTTCTGAAAATGAAATAAATCATGAGAGCCGCATAAAACACTTCAAGGATGTGTACAGTTACAACATGTATAATGAAACAATGGAGAATTTTCCAAAGGGGTGGGCGCGTAAAAGGGCTGACACAGCAAGTGGTTCAATTCCCAAAGAGGACAAATTTACACAAGGGAAGCAGGACAATGAAGCGGACATGAAACTAGCCGTAGGAGACGATTCCTTGCTTTTAAATCTTTGTAACGATAAAGAAGGTGAACAAAACGTAAATGGAAAACTGTTCGAAATTACGCAAGAAAAAAAAATTGCAGTAAAGCGGAAGGAGGAAGAAGGTTATTTGGCTGGAAAGGAGTACATAAAAACTTTGGTGGAAAAAAAAAAAAAGCACCCCCTTTTTTCGTATAATATATTTAAGAATAGTAACACATAAAATGTGTCACTTGCCGCGAACTTATGAAAGTAGGAAGACTCTATAGTTAGCAAAATAAAAATTTATGTAGCAAATTTGGTATTAGTTTATATTGTTTTGTGGTGTTCTCCATGTGTGCAATGTGGAAGAATAGGTAACGTTTACTGGAGCACAATTAAGCAGTGGAGTGTTAAATGAAGACAACATGGATGTGACATTAATGTTGTGCATGAAACTGACGCCATTTGTTGTTGCGAAAGTAAAAAAAAAAAAATGTACTTTCCATAGGGAAACATGCCAAAGGAAGGGTGAACAACAGAGCAATATGCTTCTTCCCACAAGCGTGTCCATATGTATACAACACATTCGTTTAAATTTGCCCATGTAAGTGCATTCGTATAATGTTGTTTATTCCCTGCCTGCTTAAAAATGTTCACATATAAACACGCGTCGTTTTAGCGTTTTGGTGTTTCGTTGAGGATATATTTTTTTTTGTCATTTTTCTTTTCTACATCGTATCATTCCGTATGGCTTCATAAATCGGAACCATTACGTATATTTGGCACTTAAAAAGTGTTGAGGTTTATGTCATACGCATCCCCTCTACGAATAAAGGGTAAAAATTGTTATGTATGCCTTGGCATACTTGAGTTTGTCCAGTATGAAAAAAAAAAAAAAAAGAAAAAAAAAACTTTATTTCGCTCTCACACGTAACAATTATTGAGTAAAAAATAATGAATAAGACTTTTGTATTTTCTAAAATGTACAAAATATTGTATCACCTTCAGTATTTTAATTTTTCCGCCTTTTAAGGATTGTTAATTGGTATGTTATATATGTGTAAATGCAAAAAAGTTGGAGAAACAGCTTTTTTGCTTTAAGGTTAACATTTGTGCAGACAGGATTAAATAAAAAAATGGCTAGTTCAAAAAAAAAAAAAAAAAAAAAAAAAAAAATTGTCAAATGTGAATTACTCTACAAATGGTTTCTCCCAAATGGACATGTCGTCTTTACGAAGCTACCACAATTTAAGGGAAATTTTTAATAACCACCATTACTGCGTAATATAAAGGCTTTCTTTCAGTCATTTTGTTGCTACCTTCATCAGCATATATCGACATTTCCAAGCACAGAAAAATCTGTTATTTGGGAATTCCTTCTAAAAAATTCGAAGGAAAAGGAATTAAGCAAAAAAATGAAAGTTTTGGTACTGATTTAAAAAAAAAAGAAAAACAACTTCCAAATCGTGGATATAAGAACTAGTGGACTTTTTCCCAAATTGCTCTAAGATCATGAAAAATTTTTACACCACCTTGTCGTTAAATGCCATAGATCAAACGAAAAATATATATAAAATTAAATTGTAATGAACATAATTATACATATGCGTAATGTAATGTTCATATCTTTGTGGTCTCATGCTGTTGTGTTTTGCACAGGACGCAGAAAAAACCTGTATTGAAAAAAAAAAAAAAAAAATCGATATAAAAATTTTGAAATTTTAATTTTTTAAAAATTTGTGTATATTTTATTTTTTCTTCTTAACAAAATTGTTATTATTTTATTTTTTTTTTTTTATCTCCATTTTATATTCATAAAATTTTGTAAAGCTTAAAATATTTAAACCGTTTATCAACTATACCACCAGTTACACCATCGCTTTATCTTTTCCTCTGAAGCTGTCAACACCTTAAACTGAACAAATCAAAATTGCTATTCTTTGAATTATTGTAATTTGGAAGTTTTTTTTTTTTTGTTTTTGTTATATTTTTCCCCCAACGGATATCAACAGGATGTACTCGATGCACACAGACATTATGTATTTACAGTCGAGGAGGAAGTTCACCCAGTATTATGTGCTATCACTGCTTTCTGATTTTATGAAAACTGTGTTGCTTTTGTTTGATACGTTGATCTTTTGTTTTACAATCTCCATTTCGTTGCTCATGATGCTTTTTGGCTATCTGGGTGTCATATCAGAAAAGCCCATAACTCTACATGGAAAGTTGTACATAGGGACCGTTTATTTGGACATTTTGCTGAATTTTTTAATTGCGTTAGTTTTTATGTACAATATATTTATAATGTCCACGTGTAACCTGTCGTACATGGCTAAATTTATTGTAAACCGTAATTTTTTTTATTCCATAATGACCATGATTATTGTCCTTTGTCTCCTTTCCATTGTGTTTAATATATATGCCTTATATTACGCGCGAAGATTTAAAACCTTTGTAATGGCCATAGAAAACGACACAAAAAATGCAAAAGCAAATGCTAGGACACATGTAAGGTTCAATTTAAGATCATGTACCAAAGGGAGCAAAAGTGCACGAGTAAATGCCAACGTAAGGGAAAATGTGCCAGGAAATAGAGGTGCACAGGAGAGAGCGCACACAAGAGGCAATGTCTATATGCACGGGAATGTGTTCCCTCCAGGAATAGTATCCACAGCAACGAACCTACCCACAGTAGGAATTTGCTCCACAGAAGGAAACACGTTAGCACCAGGGAACGTGCAGTCCAACGCAAATGGTAACAAAAGCGGAAAGGCACAAGCACTTGCGAGCACACGCAGAAACGGAAAGGAAAATTCAGCAATAAGCGGGGAAAAAATAAGCATCACCATTGATGAGAACACTGGACCAGATGGCAAACCCTTGGAGGACTCATTCAAATTGGAAAAACCGTCCTTTAAGGTTGCCAAGACGGTATTCCCCCTGGATGCAGGCAACAAAATAAACGACATGCTAGAGGACAATGCAAAGACAAAAATGAGCATGAAAAAAAAAATTACACCAGGATTAGACAAGGAGCAGCAAAACGTTGAGTCGAGGAGGAATAAATTTGTGAATGATGATATTGGCCCAAAGAACGTAGAAATTATCAAAGAAGGTGTAAAACAGGAGATGCCATCTGTGCGTAAGGAGGAAAACGAATTGCCCCAAGTTCACCCTTCCGAAAAGGAAGTGCACCCAGGGAAAAATGCTGAGAAAAAATTACCCCAAATGAGTAATGTTGAGAAAAACATCTTATAAAAACAGGGGGAAAAAATGTACCTGTATAATAAATTACTGTATATTATGGAAATGGATGAAGAGCTTAACACAAATATAAGCTGGAGTGTTTCATGAGGGATGAATTTGCACAGGTTTAGCTTTACGTTTTAATAAATCCTTAATGATTCCCCAGATTAATTGCCAACCGTGAGAATATTCATAAAATTTTGTGAACACATATTTACCAACACCTTGATACAGTAGCGTTTGTTGCATAAATTTTTGAACCTAATGCAAGCATTTCTTTTATGCTTTTTTTATGTTTTATTATTTTGAGGGATACCTAAGTATACATGGCTTCATGTGAAGCGATCCTTATATATGTTGCTTGCTATTAGCATACTACCCGTTTATATTATAATACGACAATTCGTAGGAATTAATTTTATTTAATTTTTTTTTTATTATTATAGAGTTTGCAATGTGTAAGTGTTTGTGATATTATTATGTAGTACTTATTTGAATGTCACGTTTTTTAAAAAATGTGGCTTGCGCGTGTACGTATAAATATCCGCCCCGTCCGCGTGTAATGTTAGGGGAAGAGGGAAATGATGCCCCTTCAAATTACACGCCAATAGCTTCACATGAATATTTGTATTCTTAAATGTGTCATACAATTATTTGTTATGTATAATAAAACAATTGAGTGAAATTATGCACATTATATATATATATATATATATATATATAAAGTAAAAAAAAAACATTCCGTGTAATAATGCATTTTTTCCCTGCAGCTTGTTTTATTTTATATGTAATGTGTATAATAAGCGTTAACTATGACTAAACTGGAACGTAAGGTGCACCTATATAAGTGCTATTAAAAGGTACGATTGTATAGTGTAAATCCGAAATGTTGTCTCCCATGTCTTGAGCGGGGCCAAACTTTCAATATATGAAGAAAACCACGTACAAATGTAAAAATGAAAAAAAAAAAA